AAAGATGAAAAATATTTCCAAAAGATGAGAAGTATAAAATAAAAAGCGGCCTTTATTCTGAGAACACAGAGAGAGATGACCGGCACCCCCACCGCTGGCGTCCAGCGATCTCTCTGGCGGACACGTGGTGTGGGGGCATGTAAATAGTCTCGGTTTGGGGTGGAACCTAAGGCGGGCATTAGGGATGTGCTGGTAGCCCATTGGTCCTAGGTTTAGTGCCATATGTAAATTTTCAGGGGCGGGAAGATGGAGTCACAGGTAACTTCCTAGGGGCGGGGTGCATAGGGGCTTCCTGCTTCCGGTTGAGGCTTTCCTGGCTACAGTGTCCTGTCTGGGCCAAAACCCTTTCAAAAGGATCCTCTGATTTTTTTTTTTTTTTTTTTGTCTTGTTGAGACAGGGTCTCTCTATGCAGTTCAGGCTGGCCTGGAGCTTACTTTGTAGCCCAGGCTGGTCTCAAACTCACAAAGATACTCCTGCCTCTGCCTGCCAAGTGCTGGGAATTACAGGTGTGAGCCACCACGCCCGGGTTTGTTTTTTTGTTGTTTTTTGTTTTTGTACCAGGGATTGAACTCACAACCTTGAATTTGCCAGGGAGGAGCTTATGCCACTGAGCTAAATCCTTGGCCCTCCTCTGATTTATTTAAGGAACCCTGGAGTTTTCCCCAGGACACACACACACACGCATGCACATGCAAACAATGCATGTCTGTGAATGGCACCAGCTGGGACCAGAGTAGAGGCCACGCAGGAGACCAGAGAGCTGCCCTGAGTTTGTCCTGCAGTCACCAAGCTGATGTGGCCCCTGGCTTTGATGGCCCAGGTTAAATGCTGACCTTTGAAAGGATAATTTGTTGGTTCAGAATTTTCCTGTCTTTAAACTGACCCACTGTCTAGCATGCTAAAATCTCAATGTTTTCATTTATGTCTCATCATGGGCTATTTAGAGGCAACTTCTGGGTTAGCCACAATTCCCTAAGCAGAGGTTTTTCTAGCTAACAAAACCTCAGATTAAAACTCACTATAACACTTCTTTAGAGTCTGTAGACTTGCTGGACCTGGTGGTGCTCACCCGTCATCCCAGCACTCAGGAGGTTGAGGCAGAAGGATTGCAGCAAGGTTGAGGCCAACCTGAACCACGTACCAGAACCCTGTCTCAACAATTAGGAATCCATCATCTTACCTTTTTAAATGTTGTGAACCCTGTGTTTGGTGAGATTAGCCATCCTCACTCAGTACCGGGAAAGGAGAGAGCAGGGGCAGCATCGCTGATTCAGGGCAGTGCACAGGCACAAGAGCAGGTAATGGCCTTGGCCCCATCTCTCTCTCTCACCCAGAGTCCTCCAGCTGGTGACTAAGTGGGTCACCTTCCTCACGCATGACTTGGGGTTGCAAAGGTGTCAGCTTCTGCCTAGCTGTTAGGAAGATTCCAAGAGACAGCTTGGCACAGAAGACCAGCCCCCAGGGAAGTCAGGGTGGGAAGTTTGCAATTCAGGTCCCCACTGGGCAGCCTGGTAAGCCTGTCCAAACAGCCGGAAGGGGCGAATGTGGCTCAGTGTGGAGCTCCCCAGGTTCCTTCCTCGGTAATGGGAAAAAAAGAAAAAGCCTGGTAACAGGAGTTGACGCACCTGGTGATCTGCATTAACCCGTGCAGGCCTGTGGCCTGGGGGACCGTGAAGATCCTGAGAGAGGAGCTTCAGGGCGCTTTCTCCCCTGCATGAGATCTTACTGAGTGCTTCTGCAGAGCACAGGGTGGCACAGTGTGCCCACATACCTCGCTCTGTGTGTGTGCACACACGTGTGGAGAGACAGGGGACTCCCTGTTGCTTCTAAGGCCATGATGAGCCAAAGTGAGATTAAATCAAACTAAGAAAGTGATATAGTTATGAGATAGCCTCTGGGAGCCGTGATGCATGCCTATAACGCAAGCTACTCAGGAGGCTGAGACAGGAGGGTCACAAGTTCGAAGCCAGTCTGTGCAGCATTGTAAGACCCTGTCTCAAACTAAAATTTGAAAAGGGCTGAGATTTAGCTCACTGCTCCAGCACCCCCAGGTTCAGTCTCCAGGACTGGAGTTGGGGGAGAGAACGAGGTGTAAGATGCCACCGTTGCTGTGACACCATGTATTATTCTATAGTGAGTCCACGTTTTAATGAGCTAATGGTGTCAGAAGGCATAAAATCGAGCAGTAGGTACATAAACAGTGGACTTCAGAGGAAGTGTAGTACAGTGTGCACACCAGCCGTAGCTCCGGCACTTCTGACCCATGCCGTGTGCCTGGGCACTGGCGAGTGTGGCCAATGGTGTATTTCCACCAGCGTCAGCACTGCCGAGTGTATCATGATGGCTATGGTGTCACATGAGTACTGTCTGGGACCCAGTACTCTGGGGGTCTGCCGTGCCCGCTGCCCTCAGCTGGGCTCTCCCAAAGTGGCCAGGTTGGTCTCAGAGTCCTGGGCCTGGTGGTCCTCCCTCTGTGGCTCTGGTGCTGGGACTGCAGGGCCCACCCCCGTCGGATGGTTCTGGAGACAGAGCTGGGAGTAGAGCCATACCTCAGGCCCGGGCTGCCTTTCCTTTGGCGCTGTCTCTCAGGTTTGTCCCGTAGCCCTCCTCTGTTTAATTCTCAAACATGCAGAAGGTTGTGCTAATCCCTCTCTGATCAAGCAGGAAGGAAATAACTCGAACTGTCTGTCCCCTGGTCCACTCCCCATGAACAGACAGTTTTACAGCTGTGTCCTACACGGTGTGGGTATCTTCCATGTGAGTGTGTGTGTGTGTGTGTGTGTGTTTACACATATTATGTAGTTTTTCTGGAAAGTTTATCCTAGTTACAGTCTCAGATAAGTAAAACTCCTGTTTTCCTCAACATTACCAATACTGAGTGTTCCTTTTGTTCTCTTATGTATTTAGTAGCTGAAAGAATGCTAGATTTCTGCTTGAATTTATATATCTTAAATATCAAGTGAGATTGAATATCTTCAAATTCTGTTTTTTTATTTTATTTTAAAGAGGATAAAACAGAATAAAAACAATCAAAACAAACCATTGGAAGAGATAGAAGAGTTCAAAACATTTGAAAATCAGCGATAGTTACTATAATGCCTCTTGATATCTTCAAAATAGCTGCAGATAATGTCAGACATAGTAAAACTCAAAGAGAACAGAATAGAATAGAAACAATAAAAACAAAACAATGAATGCAATAAAGGACTTCTAAACAAGCCAATAATAAATCCAAAATGGCCACCATAATATTTCTTGCTATCTTTGAAATAGCTGCTTTAGCCATCGGATTTGACATAAACAAACAAAACAAAAGAAAACCCAACCCAACCAAACAATGGAAATGATATAGGACTTCAAGACCATAAGGACTCAACAGTGGCTGCAACCTTCAGAAGGAGACCTCCCCCCAGATGCCACACTGCGTACCACTATCCTCTGAACCCATGATCAGACCACTGGCCCTAGACCTGCAGTGTTAGACACCAAAGCACCACAGGCATCCAATTGCATTTCACCTCCGTAGCTGTCATCACAGCCTGTGTTTCTCCGGAGAAGCCGGTCACTTACGGCAGGGGTGGGGTACTTCTTGTTTGCCAGCCCATGCTGCAAGGAGCTGGGGTCTGGCTGTTCCAGTCCACCAGCAGCCTACCTGTGGCACTGGTTCCCAGATTCTCCAACTGTTTTCTTACAAAGCATCCCACAGCCTCAAGTTGGTGTAAATTTCAAACAAAAATCTGGACAAGTAACACGTAGCTTCACCTTGTTCTCCCGTGTCCCCCCAAAAGAGAGAAACTTCCAGTTGATCACCTGGAACATTTAACATGTCATAATGAAGTTGAGGGTGCGCCTCATGTGCTTGAGAATCTGTAACGGAGCCTGTTATTACCAGATGTCACATTTGTAATAAGCGCGTACCCTAAGGATTCTGCTGGGAAAAAGCCATAAAGCAAATAGATACTGTGTTCATTAGTCCTGCTGGGGGTTTTTGGGTGGTTTCCATGCCAGGTGGGATGCTAGGCACGGGTTTCAGAAAAGAGCAGCGAAAACACGGGCTCCTGCATCCACCCTCTGAGAAACCTGTAGTGGGGTCAGAGCAGCCACCTCACCCGAGCTGAGCCCGGGGCAGCGCCCACTCAGAGGTACTGTCTCAGGAAGGTAGCTGCCTACCCATTAGCTGCCGGATGTGCCGAGTTCATGGTCTCAGGACGCTGAGGAGTGAAACCTGGAACCAGAGGAGGAAGTTAGGAGAGTTTCATTGGAAACACGGAGAGAAGAACAACAGCTCCTGGATTTCCAGGAGGGATCCTGAGTGGGGTGGCCACGGTGTCCTTTGTTGGGGTGATTTACACAGCAAAGCCCCGGCGCGGGTGCAGCCAGCCTGTAGGATGTCAAGTGTAGCTGCTGAGCTGACACTGATCCAACAGGGAGACGAGTGATGGAGCAGGGACATGGGGGACCAAAGACATTCTTGGGAAAGGAGGGGACCACCTGGTGGCCAATGCCCAGCTGGACCCCAGACCAGGCAGTGCTGGTTACAGTATATGCTCCAGCTACTGTCCACCTCCAGGCAGGTCGGCTGCTGCTGCCGTCTCCCGTGCTGACTCACAAGCCCATTTCCTTCCTGTCTGTCTAGTGTGAATGCCAGGCTAGGCTCTGCACTTGCTTGGTCCAGCGTCCTCCGGCATCACTTCCTCTCATCTCTGTCCTGTCAGCCCCCATCAGCTGCCTCCTGGGGCTGGTTCTCTCATCCTTGGGGATAGCAATTTAGGTCCCTGTTTTCTAACTATAGTGGCTTCGGTGGCTTCTGTAAGATAAGGGGGTCACTTTCCCACAAGCTTTCCAGACCCACAATGTCCATTCCCAGTACCAGTTCCTGACTGAATGGTGGGACCTATCCTGGAACAGAGCGGAACTACGTTCAGCCAGACGCTGAGTGTCACGGCCAGGGCGGCCCTGGGAGTCTGACACCTCCGTCTTTTCTTCCCATGCCCCGCAGGACACGAGTAGCCCTGAGCCTGTCAGCAGTGAGGATGACGGTGGTCTGGAAGCCAGCAATGAGCCACTGCCTGAGAGCCAGCACTCCAAACCGGTGAGCAGCAGGCCAGTCCTGCCCCTTGCCCTGTGGGGTACACAGTTCGCATCTATGCCTCCCAAAAGGCTGCCACTGTGTATGCCACCCAGGTGCCTGGTGTCTGCTGGCAACAGTGTGGGTTTGTGCTGTCTGTTCCAGGACAGACAGCACAGTCCTCACCCTTGGACGAGCCCAAGGCCTGGGGCAGTCTCAGGGGCAGAGTTGGGCTCCTCCTGGCACTCACTCATTCACCTTTGCAGCACAGGGGCTGGCGACTTCCTGGCCTTATTCATCCAAGATTTATAGATGGAATCTTGGATTCCAATCCTGCCCTTTCCGAGCAGTGTGACCTCCAGGAAATACCACCACTTGCTTTGGTTTCTGTGTCTGAAATGAGGGAGGAAACAAAGGGATGTGGTGACAGTTAGAGGAGTTGCTAACTCCAGGGCACTGCTTCAAGGATGCTAGGAACATGGTACCTACTCTGCAGAAGTGAGCAGAGGTGCATAATGATGACAACTATGAAGTTCTCATTAAAGCATTGCGGTTCAGCCATAAAATGACTAGCTGCTCTGAGTGAGGTGTTAAGACACACGTGGCACACGGAAGTGAATCACAGCCTCCTAGACAGACCTGCTAATGCATGAGGGTTCTCCGAATGGCAGAACTAAAGGAGTGTTCGTGAACAAGAGCAGGAGCATCGGGAGAGCCTGGTCACTGGTCATGGTGTTGCCTTCCCGTCACTGGGACAAAACACCCTGGGACAAACCCACAGCCTAGTGAAGAGGAGGTTTAAGTTCACTCATGCTTTGGGGAGAATCAGTCCTTGTTAACTGGATCGTGGTACAATGGAAGAAGCTGTGACGGACTGCAGCTGCCCACTCCCGGGAGGAAAGGGAGGAGTCGAGAACAACGCATCCTTCCAGGTCACACCGCCAGGCCCCACTGCAGCCTGGCTGGCTCCTCCATACCCCTGTAACCCTGCATGCCTGAAAACCAGCACCCTGTGGAGGACACAAGGCTGACCACCACCTGGAACAGTAGCCTGGCCTGCTTGAATAACAGCTGAAAAGGACTCTGAGTGTCTGCATGGCTGAGCTGGGAAGCGCATCATTGGGTGGCCCTGAATGAGCAGGGTGCCTTGAGGCTGCTTTCTTGGAGCAAAAGTCTTTCAAAGGGGGGCTGGAGATTTAGCTCAGCGGCATAAGCACCTGCCTTGCAAGCAGGGGGTCTTGAGTTCGATCCCTGTTATCGATAAAAAGGAAAAAGACAAAAAAAAAAGCCTTTCAAAGGAGTTTGCCCTTCATCCCCAGAGCCTGAGGGGAATGCGTCCAGCAGGATTCTGAGATGCCTGGTGCAAAGTGCTTAGTTCCTTTGTGATGGTGCTGGTCTTTTCAGGAGCACAATTCTTTGGCCTCAACTTCACATATGATTTCTTCTGGGGCAAAATTGAAAGTTCTGTGAAATTCTCTGCTCTGCTCTGCCTTTTGTTCCCAGTTCTCACAATAAATCTGGCTAAAAGCAGCCAACAGTTCTTAGGCCACATTCTGGACTTCGAGCTATTTTGGAATTTCCTCTTCCAGATCAGATAGTATGCCACTTTAAAAATTCAGCCTCACACGGTCTTGGGACAGGGACAAGATGTGGGCAGTTTTCCTGCCAGCATGCAACACAGGCAGCCTCTAGTTGAGCTTCTTGTTCCGATCTGAAACCTCATGAGCCCAGCCCTACTCTACACATTCCTGTTAGCATTGTGGTCTTCTGGTTTCCAGCCAGAGTCACTCATCAAGCTCTGCTGTAGGATTCTAGAGCCTCATCCCACATCTCCAGACTCTTTGAAACTTCTCCTGGAAACCAGTTGCAAAGGCTGCTAAACCATATGGTCAGGTATTATCTCAGCAATGACCCCACTTTTCCGGTACCAGTTTCCTCTGTTAGATTCCTCATTGCTGAGGACAAAATGTCCAGCATGCACAATTTAAAGGAGAGTGTTATTTTGGCTTGGAGTTTCTGTGGGGCAGACCTTGATTAGCTGGCTCCGAGGCAGAAACAGCAGGGTGGTAAGGAAAGCTGCTCACCTCCAGGCATCCAGAGCAGGGAAAAGGCCCACCTTCAGAGGCACACACCCAGGGGGACCCCCTCTCCAAGCAGACCCCACCTCCTCATGACACATTCAGCACCCCCAAGATCCACTCACATCCAAAGAGCTTCACTTCTGAATACATGGGCCTTTGGGGGGACGTTCTAGGTTTAAACCATAGCGCTCAGAGCGGCTAAGTCTCATATCAGGCTGTGGCTAAGCTGAAAGCCCCTGAGGAAGTCAAAAAGAAAATTAAATGCTTGGGACATACAGTGGCACAAGGTCAACATCTCCTTCCCAAACCCAAAGGCGAAATAGGGGGATCAGAACAAGACAGTTGCACATCTTGTTCAAGCCCAAAAACCTCAGGACCAAGGAGTAGGTTTGGGCCAGTACCCAGCATGGGGGCGGGGGGGAGCCGTCTTACCCTCAGAATTTGTGCATTTTTCTTGCACCTAAAATCAGCACCTTGTGGATGCCGCCAAGGTTTGCTGCTAGCTGTAGCAGTAGCCAGGCTTTTCTCTCTCTTGGCTGTAGGGGTCAGTTGCCTGGATCCCAGGGCTCTATTTACCTGATTGTGATGAAAAACTTCTCTGTGTTGCCGCCATTCTGGAAACTCATGTGGCCACTCTCGCCATTCTGGAACATGGCACTCTGCAGCTTTTCCCTCTGAGCAAATACTTTCACCTTTGCTGTGAGGCTGCATGGGGTGGGACCCGCTTCCTGGGATGCCCCGGGGCCATCTTTCTTATCTCTCTGTTTCTCTTCAGGAATCAAAATCTCAACTCTGTCTTTACAATCCATAGCCTTCCTAGAATTTTCCTTCTGGCCAAACTCACAGTGTTGGAAATTATCTTGCTGGGCTCTTTGCTCTTGATTCGAAACATAAAGCTGGCTAAAAGCCCCCAACAATAGCCATGCCACAGCCTCAATGTTCGATTGCTTTTTAATTTCCTTTTCAAGATTAATCAGTCCATTGCCCTTTGTCTCAGTCTCAGGCAAAGTCTCTGGGCAGGAGCAAAATGCAGACAAACTTTCTGCCAAGCCATAACATACATCATGTGGAGCCTAACACCAATACCATCCTTCTTCCCAGCAGAAACCTCCCAAGCCTGGTTTTTACCATCAGGCTTTCTATCAGCCTTCTGGTCTCCTAAGCTCTGACCAGAATCTCCTCTATAGAACAGTCTAAGCTGCTCCAGCTCTATGCATCCAGGCGACATGTCTGAACCTTTCCAAACTCCACCCACAAGCCATTTCCAAAGCCTCTCGAGAAACATGGTCAGGTATAGTCACAGCAAACGACCCCACTCATAGTACCAAATTCTGTCTTAGTTACTTTATGCTCGTTGCTGAGACAAAATACCTGATGCCCAAGTTGGGAAAGGAAAGGCTTATTTCTTACAGTTTTTGGAGGTTTTAGTCCACACTTAGTTGGCTCCAAGGCAGGCGGGCATGGCTGGACCGCCATTCATGGCAGCTGCAAATAGCAAACAGCAAGTGGCAAAGAGAGACATACTTTCTTCCTGCCATTACATCACATCCTGGCTCCACCCCTTTGTGGGTGGAGCACTGACATCATCAATCCAAGCACTAGACAATGAACCAATCACAAATACACAATGCAAACTCATGAGGCCTGGGGGACACAAACATAAACCATGACACCATTGCTCAGGCTCCTGTTCCACCGGGCCATGCTCTCATTGAGGGCAACTCTCCCTCACTCGGTCTCTGATTCCAGTGCCAACAGCTTCACAGACATGCTGGGAAGTATGCAGCTCCTCAAATTAGTCACCACAGCCGGCAGTCACAGGCGGTACTGCTGCATGCTGTGCCCAGGTGTTGTCCTAAGGTCACGTATTCTGCCTCATCTCCATAACAGTGGTACGAAGGGAGCACGGCAAGAGCCCCATTAAGAGCATTGCAGCTGTGAACTCTCAGATAGGAGTGGACCTCACTCTGGGGACGTTCGAAGATGTCGGACTCTGTGCCAGACGCTGTCAGGGCTGTGTTCTTGCTGCCCAGGCTCGTCAGGGTCCAGGGTGTCTGGAAGCCGGCAGAAAAGCAGCAGTGTCATGGGGGACACTGGGAAGCACAAGGCAACCCACACTGTGCATTTGTGTCAGAGGCGTGCGACACTCACTGTCCGTTGCACAAACACTCCCAGAACGGAACTTGTTCATAAGCTGTTGGCTTACTATACCCTCATCACGTAAGCAGTGGAGAGACTGAAGCTCTCAGACGCTGACTGAGTTGCCCACCATCGCCCAACGAAGCTGGATCCAGACTGGAGTCTGCGGTGTCACAGGCGGCTGAGCTCGTGAGGCCACCACAGGTCACAGTGTGGTACCACTTCCCACTGGCTCTGAAGCCCAGCGGTGTGCAGCAGAGCTGCAGTTCCCAGACTTGGCTCCCCTGGCCCCAGCTCTGAAGACTGTGTTTCATCCTGGCGCGTGTGGAGCGGGTGCAGTGCCTGTGAGAACAGCCCCGGAGCAGTGGAGCAGGCCTGGCAGGGTGCAGGGAGGCTTGGAATGGAGCACCTGCCTCAGTCCTGGAGGTTGGCAGAGAAGTGGGAGAGGTGGGAGCTGACTGGAAGAGGAAGCAGGGCTGAGTCCAGTTACCCCTGCAGTGTCCTGCATGGTCTCTGCTCTCAGATGGGCCCTACTGCATGGGAGCTAGAGAACTTACCCGCCACCTTTGGTCACGGTTACTACTATGACCTTTATCTGATCCCTGCACACCCCTGTGGTAAGATTACTCTTTTTTAAAAAAATTTTTTTTACTTTGTTTTGTCTGAGACAGGGTCTCACTATGCAGTTCAGGCTGACCTTGAAATCCCAGCAAACCTCCTGCCTCAGCCTCCCGAGTGCTGAGGTGACAGGTATGCATGTGCCACCATTCCTGGTGATTTTTCTTTCCATTTTTTAACTGAGGAAACTACAGAGATCAAACCACATGCTCAGGCTCATAGGGCACTCATCTTCCAGGTGCTGGGGTCTCCACTGTTTGCTGTTCTGGTCACTTGCTGCCTTCCATCTCTGCCCTCGGGATGCTGTGTCCCCCAGTGGCTCTCAGACATTTCCTCAGGACCGGAGTGACTACCCTCCCCTGCCAAGCCCAGCTCTTCACATGTCCCCTCCTCCCCCAAGCTTGTCTCAAGACCCCACAGTGACCCCATAAGCGTGCTTGTGCCTGGAGGTAACACAGACATGCTGCCCACCCATCAGTGCTGGTTACCTGAACAACAAGAGGCCCCAGGCCCTGTGTTGCTCTCCCCAGGCCTCAAGCCCCCACATTGGCCCCCGCAGCTGTGGGGCTTCATCTCCCTCGCCGTCCTCTCTGTGTCTTTAGCACATGCACTTTTTGCCTCTTCTCAGATCTCTTAAGGGGAAAGTCTTGGTCTCAGGTTTGAACCCCAGAAGCCTGTTCAGCACGATGTGGGGAGACTGTGTGACAGAAGAGTTAGTGGCCGGGGTCACCATCACAGACCTCTCACCCAGCCTAGGGTGCTTTAATGTCACGTGGGGAGCACGTGGTATGCCGTGTGCTCACCGCTGTGTCTCTGATGTCCCAGGAGGACCTGTCCCCAGGGACTGGCCCAGGCAGGTCTGCAGAGGTCACTCGAGTCCCCAGCTGACCACAGCGGCGGCTTGCTTCTGGGTTCCGCTCTCCCTCAGGAAAGGGCTGGGATCCTGGAGGGAAATGTGTTAGCAGCAACAGCGAATGCCTTCTCACTCAGTGGTGGGTTGAAGTACATCCCACAGCCTAAAGCTGATCCACAGCCGAGAGTCGGCAGCTGTCCTCACCCCTGCAACTGCTACATGTGTCGTTCTGTGCAAACGTCAGTACGATAACCTTGGTGCGTTCTGAATTTTACTTCTCTGTAAAAGCTGCAGCAGTCCAGGGGTCCGCATCAGGCTGCTCCACCCCACACAGAGGGTAAAGGACCTGCAGGCGTCTGTCAGCCGAATGTTGTTGGCACAGTGCATCCCTGACCTAGGAACATTCAGGCTGCAGACTTGGACGGATTTACCATGTCAGACTCAGTCTGCTGAACTTCGGAACAAATGCGATTTACTCACTGTTGCACTTACTCTTCTCTTGTTGTTGGGACAAAATACCCGATGCCCAGAATGAAAGAGGGAAAGGAATATGCAGCCCACCGTGGGCAGCACCAAGGTGAGGCCCTGTGAGCGCTTTGCCAACCCCCACACCCTCCCTGCCAGGCTGCACACACTGGCTGACTTCCTCGGGGAAATGGAATTCCCCTCCCTGGAGGTTTTCAACCAGAAGCTGGATGAACATCATCACCGTCCTATAAAAGGACAAAATACTAGTAGCTGTTACTATTGAGCTCCTCCGCTGACCCTGATAGGGGCAGGGGCTGGCCTCTGGCCTTCACAGGAACCCTGCTGACCAGCAGCAGGGGATCAGCACTGCGGGGCTTTCTGTCCTGTCACTTTTCCCCTGTCACGAGGACCCAGTGAAGAACAGACCCTGCCTTAGAAAACCACAGCTGAGTATAACTTGACTTCTTTCTTATCCATGGGTGAAACTGACCCCAGTGAAGCCCAGCGGTCATCTGTGAAGCTGCAGATGCCACACAGCGCGGGGACATGAGAGACAGCAAGTGTCTCCCGCTGGCACCGAAGCCATCACAGACGCTACCTTCCTGCTCTCACAAGGTCATGCCCCGGACTGGTTGCAGAGAACTCACAGCTCACGGTCACCAAGGGCGAGTGCTGCTGGGCACTTGGGTTCTCCATGAGATGACACAGAGTAGAAGAGACACAGGGACAGTGGGGTTCACTTACCGCTTCCTACTGCAGCGGGCTGTGATGGATCTAGGGAGGCGCTGTGCAGCTCTTCCACAATTACCATTCTGGTGGGTCATTGTCCTCGGAGCTGGACGTCCATTTGTGTTGCCCCAGTCATTCCCCCAACCCATCTGGCACCAGGTAGGCCAGGGGCTCCTGCCCTGAGAGCCGTGTCCTTCCTCCTGCAGTGACCCACCCTTTGCCCAGAGCATGGCCTGAATATCGTTCCCTATGGTACTGGGCAGCTGTCAGCTTGGCCACGCTGGCATCCGACTCTCTCACCGTGACCCCCTCCCCATCTTCCTTTTGCTTTCCTGCTTTTGAGTCTCCACTGAATGCATCCTGAATGGATCTTTCTGTGTAATGGTCAGTGCTGGGTGGTAGGGAAAAGGATGAACACCAAAGGTCACAGCTTGGCAAGTACTGGGTGACACTTTGGACCCATGGCATCGTTTTGCTACCCACTCAGGCCCGCTCCACGTCTAACAAGCTGTGTGGCTTTGGAGCTGCCCATGACTCTCACCCCTTAGTTTACTGCAGGGCAGCAAGGTGCCCTCTGACGCTCGGGTTCTGGTGATCCAAGGAGTTCCTCAGGCTGGGAAGTGTTTTGGAACCAGAACGCTCTGCAGACCCGAATCATGGGCAGGCACACAATGGCGGCACAGCTCTGGCCCCCGGCTCGCCTGGTGTATCCGCCCTTCTCAGACCCTCCTCCGGGGACCCAGGAGACCAGCCGGGGGCTGCCTGTGCTTGGGTCACTTGGGTCACCCTCACACTCCTCGAAGGTCTCGCTGGAATCACGAGTTCACTTTCCCAGGCTCGCACAGAGCCATACCTGCCCCCTTGCTGGGCTGCAGCTTTGCCTCTCCCTGAGCATCCCACGGCATGGCTCACAGCTGTGGCTGTGCACTGAGGCCCTGAGACTTCCCGGGTGCTGGCTCTAAGCGTGGTCAGGAGTGAGTGGAATTGGTGCATCGGGCACTGTGGGCTTCACAGTGTTCGCCTCCTGCCCTCGTGTGGCCCATCCTGTGCTCTGGAGCCCAGCAGTGTCCACAGAAGAGCACGGCACCCCAACACCCAGGGCCTGCAGTGAGCGTGGCCCTCATGTGGCACAGCACACTGGGGATGCCTTGTGGGCTGCAGCAGAATGGGGAGACTGCAACCCTACTGCCTCACACACAGGCCACGATGACATCCTCAGCTCGTGTCTGTCCTCCCTGCCGTGACCGCACTCTGCAGTGTTCCAGATGTGTGGTTTCCGAGGAACACGGGGCACAGCATCCCCTTGACATCGCCCCACTCGCTGTCCAGTTGTGCCTCGAGGATTCAGCCATCAGAGTTCCGCTGCCTTTCTCTTCCTTGACATTCACAATTTGTCCTTCCTTCCACAGAACACCAGTGAGAGGAAAGAGCAGGACCACAGTCCCGAGGCCTCCCTGGCTTCACAGGAGGACCCCTCAGCGCCAGCTCTGCCGTGCCATGCAACAGAGGCTGACATCACAGACTACGGTACGGCCCCTTCCCTGGTGTCCAGACAGGACAGCAGGACCCGCCCCCCTTCCTTCGCTTAGGGACGTGGCCAGGTCACTGTGTCACCTGTAGCAGTGTCCTCACTGGCCACTGATGTCCTCTCCTGTGGTTGGACAGAAATGCCCTCAGCGAGTGTCACTTGTAGCCAAGGCCAACGGGGTCACTTTAGTTCGTGAGCACTGCTCAGGTTGGGAGCAGTGTTCGGCTCCCTGTGCTGATGGAAACTTGGAGGCTTCTTGTCAGAGCTTAGAACAATTGGTGTTTGTGTTCTGCCTTTAAATTCCTGGCTGGAACCACACCAACGGAAGATTCAAAATAAAACCCCTGGGTGAATAATGGGTATTTCCACCTCGTTTTTATGCAGTACTAATCGTTCAGAAATGCATCCTCTAAGACCCTTTCTCACCAGTGGCAGAGCACAGCCCGGGGTTAATGTGGCAGGCCTGATGGTTCTGTGGCATTTGTCTTGCGTATGGTTTTCATAAATGTTAACTCTTGGTAAAAAGTTTAGAAAATTGGTATGACTTTAAAGCCTGGGTTTATAGTGAAACTCTTCAGGAGCGAGCGTGGTCAGCCACCTATGGCCCACACGTCAGATGACACCCACCACCCAATTTTGTTTGGTCTGTGAGCTTTGAAACGTTTCCATGTTTTTAAAGGTTGAAAAAAATCAAAAAAATTAGACCTAGTTCAGACCTCCAGAGCTGCTGCAGGAAGCGGCCAGGACCATGGAATGAGTAGGGGGGCTTTGAGGGGAATCTGTGGCAGTGTGTCTTACTGGAATCAGTGCTTTAAATGTAAGCATCCCCCTTCATTTTCAGCCACCCCAAGTGAATTCTGGGTAAAACCCCAAGTCCAGCCCCGTCCCCAGCGAACCCCGGGCCCTTCTGTGCTGACCCGAGACTGTTCTGTGCTACCCTAGGAGGGGCAGGCCTCCAAGGATGGCCCAGGATGGCCACGCTGGTCCTGGGCCACCACACAGGCTCTGTCACAGCCTCTGAACTCCAAGGCACAGGCCCCGCAGACAGGACGAGTCCATGGGCTCTGCTTTGCGGACCCTGCATTCTGGACTTTATCGAATTTTTAAATGTCCCAAAATACTATTTTTTTTCTGATTTGCTACCTTTTGAAAACACCAACACCATCCTTGGCAGAGGGCTGTAGTGGCGGAGCTCTGCTGTGACAGCCAGGTGTGTGCACAGCTCTCCAGGCAGCTTCTAGCCTTGGCCGCTGTGATGGGGACCATGCTGTCGCCAGCCTGTGCTGAACAAGGCACAAGGTCGGGAATGAGTCCTCCCGGTCATCAGGAGGCTGAGCCCAGGAGAGGTGCCGCCTTGGGACACGACTGTCCACCAGCTAGCTGTGTCCTGAAGCCTGTGTCCTGAAGCATTTTGTGTTTTGCTTTTTTAGTGCGTGAGGTTTAGTTATCTGCAAGATGTGACCATTAATGGATCTTCTCTGAGCCTGTGAACCCTTTTTTCTCTCAGTTTTTACAAAACTCTAATGTGAAAGAATGACTTTTCATAAAGAAACTTCACAGGACAGCAGCCACTGTTGTGACAAGATGGTCACTCACAGAGCAGGAGGCCACGCGGCCTGCATTTTCCTGTGCTGCTGTGCACTCAAGGAGTGGCCTGGTCCCCTGGAGCAGGAGTGGCTCCAGTTTGGGGGTGTTTCAGTGTTAGGGTACTTGCAGAGACTAACAAGACGCCTTGGGGACGAGACCTCAGCTCAAACACAAAACTCACCTGCATTCCTCCCTGCCCTGCACACTCTGAGACTTTGTGTGACGTTTCTAGCACTCAGCGTTCTGATTGCTGGTGGCTCATTCCCAGGGGCAGAGGAAGACTGCTCTTTCCTCCTGGTTTGCAATGCGGGCCTGGTGCCCACAGGTAGAACATCCCCCCTGGGAACTCTCATGTCAGCACCTAGACGTCCACAGACCTCGGTGCCAGCACCCTGCCCGTCATGTACTGGGGGTGGCTTTAAGCAGCTGTTACTCTCAGTTATGTCCTGCTGTGTTGATTAAATCCCGTGCATCTTAATTCCTACAACATGAGGTAATTGAAAGTCACACCAGGTGTGGTGGCTCACACCCGTAATCCCAGAACTCTGGGATGCTGAGGCAGGAGGATCATTGCAAATTCGAGCCCAGCCTGGGCTACAAAGTGAGCTCAAGGCCAGCCTGAACTGGGGTGAGACCCCATCTAAAAAAGACAAAAAAAAATGGGAATGGGGTTCAGTTCTGGCACTGGGTTCTGTTATCAGTAACATAAAGAAGAGGAGAAGAGAATTTAAGTACTATTTCTTTCTCTTTTTTTGGTACCAGGGATTGAACTCACGACCTCATGCTTATAAGGCAGGCGCTCATGCCGCTGAGCTACATCCCCAGCCCAACTAAGAAATATCTTAGTGTTTTATAACTCAGGATCTTGTGTCATCTAAGCTGTCATTCTCATTATAACTATGCTTTTATGTACGCGGTCATTTAGTCACTCAATTATTCCCCTCTGGGTGTTTAAGCCCACAACATTTCCAGTTCCCTGCTCTGACATCAGAGTGGAGTGGCAGGCACAAGCCCAGCTACTCCTGCTCAGCGTGACCTGTGCCCCTTCCCTCCCCAGGTGACCCCCAGGCACCTCTGTCTGTGGACCCAGCCACGTGCCCCATCATCCCAGGCCAGGAAATGATCATCGAGATCTCCAAGGGCCGCTCTGGGCTGGGGCTGAGCATCGTGGGAGGCAGAGACACCCCACTGGTGAGTGTCCAGGGTATGCATGGGCTCGCACTGTGGGTGTGGAATGAGCAGGCTGCTGCATGTGTGTGTTCCTGTTGTGCCCAGCGTGGGTTTTTTCTCAGGGTTTCGTTCTGCCAGGATCTCCTCCCTCTCATCTGCCACTTATTTGTTCTGCAGCACTGGGGACGGAACCCAGGGCGTGCTGAGCTGTGTCCCAGCCCTTTGTCACAATTTTCATATTGAGACAGGGCCTGGCTGCGTTGCCCAGGGTGCACTCGAACTTGTGACCCTCCTGCCTCAGCTTCCCCAGCAGCTGGGGCAACACTGAGCACCACACACCTGCTGGAGCGTTGTCCTTTGAGGGCTTCCCAGTACAGCGTCACCGGGGCAGCACAGGGTACGGGGTGTTGCCCGGCACACACAGGCGAAGCTCTCATGTCCTCCACCCCACCGTGGTTAGTTCCAGGACACCAGGGTAAGGCGCCAGCCTGTTCTGCGGGGCGCACATGAGAAGGTGGCAATGCCCTGTGGGCCTTGAGCACCAGCTTTGCCGACCCCGCAAGGTGGATTGTTCAGGACCTGTCACTCATCACTGTTGCATGGCGCCATCAGGACGAGGCTTTTTTCAGGCAATACGTGGTACAGAGCTAGATGGGCAGGGTGCCAGGGGGACCCCATCTACTCCCATCACCCTGTGCCCCCAGCACAGTTCCCAGCCGCACCCCTGCCCAACACTGGCTGCACCCTTTGCGTATTTGTGGGCGCAGAGAGAAAGGTTCAAGGAGCCTCAGCCGGGGTTTCCCAGGCCAGCGGAGGTCTGTGGTCTGCCAGGCTGCAGTCCTAGGCTGTAAGCAGCACCGTTCCGGAGCTCGGGACTCCAGATGCTCCAGAGCCGTAGCGCCGGGCTTCCTGCCCTGTTCATCGGCCTCCTCCCCTCTCCTTCCACCCAGCCTGGGCTGCAGAGTCCTGGGAGCCACCAGTGTCTGTGGACTGGAGGATTTTTCCCCACAGCTGAGTAAAGTGTCATTCAACTCTTCTCTGGCCAGGCATCTATCATCCCCACTCCTCAGGAGACTGAGACAGGAGGGTCACTTGATCCCACAAATTTGAGATCCTCCTGGGCTACATAGAGAGGCCTGTGTGTCAGATTTCAAAGAAGGAGAAGGAGGAAGATGAAGAGACCAAAACTTCCCTTTGGAGTTCAGGACCACTCTCCCTGACCTCCGGAACCCACAGCCCAGATGCCCTGAGTGCACCTCTCCGAGTCAGCTCTGCAGTGGCCGGGGTCAGCAGGGCCAGCTGTCCAGCTTCCCCTTTTCCTCAGCAGCCCCAGGCTGTGTTTCTCAATAAAACAGCTGTGCACAGTGTCCTGTGACCCAGGCTTGGTGACAAGCAGGAGTGGTCAGCAGTGCTGTCAACGGGCACAGAGGGTGCAGAGGGCTGGTCTTGGCACGGCGTGGCTCCCAGGGGCTGAGTGCGGTCAGCAGGCTGGGGAGCTGTGCAGGCAGGGAAGCCCTTGGGCCGGAGCTTCGCAGACACGCCTCTTTCTGTCTCTTCATCTGGGGGAGCCCCCACCCAAGGACTCCACTCCCAGCCCCCAGAGACCCTGTCCCCTCTGCCTTGTGGCTGCAGGCATTTGGGCTGTCTTAGCCAAGTGGAATCTCCAGGACTGGTGCTAGCCCCAAACGGGCCCTCTATGCTGTCCACAGTTTGCCTCTCGCTGGGCGTGGTGGTACACACTTGTACTCCCAGCACTCAGGAGGCCAAGACAGGCGCATCGTTGTAAGTTCAAGGCCAGCTTAGGCTGCACAGGGAGTTGTGCCCAGCCTAGACTACGTGATGAGACCTTCAAACAAGTCAACAAATGAATCTGTAAATAGACACATAAATGGAGCTCTTGAGCCAGGACAACTGGGGCCTGAGATCACAGGCTGGCTCTCACCACTCCAGGGCTAGAAACCAGGCGGCAGCGCTGTGTGTAGCACTGCACCCGCACAGGGCTCTGCTGCACGGGGCGTGGGGTCCAGAGCAGACAGAGCTGGCGGGGACCCTCCGGCATCCCAGTGCAGTCTTTGCCCTGGGTGTCACGGCACAGCTGGGCCATCGTCCTCACGTTGCCTTCCTTGCTCCCTGCCTTCCACTCCCCAGCCTCTTTGGGGTGCTCTTTGCAAGAAACCCAAGGCCCAGCAGCAAGACTGCCCCCCAGTGAGGAGCCCGGGCTTACCACCCTGAGCCTGTCCAGTGTCCAGGATCTCCTGACCAGGCCTTGGTCACCCCTGTCCTGGTGGAGCGCAGCCAGCTCTGCACTCTACAGGATTCCAGAGAAGCAGGGCTCACGAGGTGTCTGCAGCCATCGTTGCTGGGGACCAGGCGCGGTAGAGACCAGTGGGGACCAGACCTCCTATTCCGAGACTGCTGCCCTGTACAACCTGGGACCCGGCTCGGGCCTCCCCAAGATCTTGGAGTCTCAGTGGCAGGGCCGGGCCAAGGACTTGGGCTTCACACTTAAGCCTGAGGTGCCACAAGCTCACAGAGATGACAGAGACCTGCACCTGACTCCCTGCCATGGCTGCAGGTGGTCTCCATCACCCCGCGCCCCACAGGGCAGCGCCTGGCCATGGCTGCAGGCGGTCCTCATCATCTCGGGCTCCACAGGGCAGGGCCTGACCACACTGAAGCCCAGCACTCGAAACAGCACTTTGTTCCTCGACTGCTACGAACTTGCTTTCCAGCCCCAAGCTGTAACCTGAGGCACCCACACCCTCCCAACCCTGCTGCGCCTCCCCGTCACATGGTGGGTGGCTCTTGGGGCAGGGGGAGCCCCCCAGCTGGGTGCCAACACTGCCCCAAGGAGTCACTAGCATAGAGGCTCCCTCTCCACCTCCTCCAGAGCCCCACTCATTCTGCATCTTCAGTGCTCTCCACAAGGGCTTCCAGCCTCAGAACCTCTGACCACAGCCGCACTGCCCTCCCCCCTCTGGTCCAAGCTGTGTGCCTGGCCCCCGGGTGTCAGGTACACTGCGTACCCAGTTACTGCAGCTGGGGCACCCTGTTCACCCACACATGTCCTGTGAGGGGGAAATGAGCACACAGGAACAGTAACCAGTGTATCCTGTGAAGAGGGACTGAGCACACAGGAACAGTAACCAGTGTATCCTGTGAGGAGGGACTGAGGCTGCAAGGAACAGTACCCGGTGTATCCTGTGAGAGGGAACTGAGCATGCAGGAACAGTACCCAGTGTATCCTGTGAAGGGGGACTGAGCACATAGGAACAGTACCTGGTATATCCTGTGAAGGGGGACTGAGCTTGTAACAGTACGTAAACAAGTCCTGTGGGAAGGAACTGGGTTAATAGGAACAGTACTCAAACACATCTTGTGAGGAAGAACTGAGCAAATCAGAAAAGGATAACCAGAAGGGAAAATGATGACCCCATGATTACTTAAGGCCACCCTTCTAACATGTAAAAGGATGGAATGATTCCCAGCCAGGCATGGTGGCACCCACCTGTAATACCTGCACTCTGGGAGGCTGAGGCAGGAGGATCACAAATTTGAGTCCAACCTAGACAGCTTATTGAAACCACCCTGCCTCAAAAGACAAATTAAGCAGTGGGAATAGAGCTCACTGCAAAGACCTTGGGTTCAGTCCCCAGCACCTCAAGAGAAAGAAAAGAAAGCAGCCTTACTCAGTCAACTTTCCTTGCCACTGGGACCAAATACCCAAACCCACAACTTAAATGAGAAGTTTACTAGAAGTGTTAGTCCCTGCATGGTGGGCCAGTGCCAGGCAGAAGTGGCATGGTGGAAGGTCTGGCAGAGGAACGCTGGTCGTGTCCTGTCCAGAAGCAGAGAGTAGATTCAGGGAAGGAGCCAGGAAAAGAGAGGGACCTTCCAGGCCATGCCCAGGGACTGTCTCTTCAGCCAGGCCCCACCTCCCACCAGGAGGTCTCCTGTACCACCCCATAATCCCAGCCCTTCCTAGAGCACCCTCCCACCATGAGTACATGAGAGTTTGAGAGGCATCTGGAGCTAGACCATAACATTGGCCCCCAAAAGACATGCACCTCTCTATGCAAAATGCATTAGTTAGCCATCTGTGGGATTTCCAAAGTCCTTATGATTTCAGCATTTCTCAAAAGCTAAACCCAAAGTCTCCCCCTCACAGAGATTTAAGGCAAGTTCTTAGCTGTGAGGCCCTGAAAAAATTAAAAAGAAAGTTAGACACTTCCAACATACAATGAATGGCACAGGATAGATCTTTCCCTTCAAAAAGGGAGAACTAGGGGAATGGAAAGGAATGGAGGCAAAGCAAGACCAGAATCCCGCAGCTCTGGGTCCGCACCCAGGGCAGGCTGGGGAAGATGTGGGCTCCAGCCTCCAGCACTGCCCAGGTGGCCACTCTCATGGCTTCTCTCTTGGGCTGGCTTTGCTCACGCCTTGTGGCTGCCCCAGGTTCTTCATGTCCCTGGCTTCGGCTTCCTGGGGTCTCCACTGCACTTCTGGCTTCGCCCTCACAGCTTCACACACGGCCCTTGGAGACACTGCCTGGCTTCCCAGACCCTCTTCCTGTGTCTCATCTGGCACACCTGTAAAGCATGGACGATGTCAAGGCTAGCTGAGCTCCAGCACAGCAAGGCCTCTTGCTCTGTGGCCATGCAGGCCCCTGAGTGCCTGGCTGGCTGCGCGTCGGGAGCAGAACCCTAGGAAGCCAGGTTCCTTTCCTCACAGCGCACCCTGTGGCTCTGTCCTCTGCAGGCTTTCCCTTTCCCACCCCTGAGTCTGCAGAGGGAACGGCGGGGTCTTTTGGATTCCTCCTGTGTCCTCAAAGCATCCTTTATAAGGCTGTAAATAAAGACCTTGGTTTCTTTTTATTGCTAATCTTCTCAGCACATAAATTCTCTGCTGCTCCAACTATGCATGGCCCAACTGTACAGGAGCTTCATTTCCAGTAAAACTCAAAACTCACAATTACTCAGCTGCATGGGTTGTTCTTGATTCTTGTTGTAGACCTAGCTAATGGTACCTTGCAAATTTCACCCCAAATTAATTGACCTCAGTCTCCCATAAAGTCTCGAGACATGAGTGAAAGGTAGACAGATACACTGCCGGTGTGTGATGTGCACGACCTGAGGAGTCCAGTGTGAATCAGCTCTTTGTCCCAGCTGAACTCAGCCAGGCCTTTGTCACTGCCTTCTTATCAGCATTCTGCTCTCCCAACCTCTGGCCAGAGCCTCTGATCAAGCTGAGCTCTCAGCATCTACGCTGCTCCCCCCCCGCCCCCGCCTGCGACCCCAAACCTTCCGCAGTGCCTCCTGCACACCAGTCCCAGAGTCTCCCGAGCCACCCAGTGCAGCCACAGCCCCCTCACCTGGCACTGACACCAGTCCTAGGCACTTAATCCGGGACCTGCAACGTACAGAACAAGAGGGCTTTTGGCTCATGGTTTCAGTCTGTGTGTGGCTGACTCCAAGGTGGCAAAGGGGTGGCAGAGAAAAGAAAAAGAAAAGGCGTCAGCTTCCCTGGAAAGCTCCCGCTCCCTCTGTGTCCTCTTCCGGCCCAAGGAGGTCCTGGGGCCCCCATCACCTCCTGAATCTTAACACACGGCGACCTACCTCAGCATGTGTGCGGACTTCCTGGCCCTGCCACCTGGGTGCCCTCCTGTGTCCCAGGGCATCCCTATGCCTCACATGTGTCTCTACGTTCAGCTGCCCTGTCCCGGCTGGAACAGCAGTGTCATCCGCTCTCACAGCACCGTGCCGCTCTGCAGGCAGCTCTGGCTTAGCCCACCCTCCCGGAACAGGGGCTCATGGCAGGCACACAGCAAGCCATCTCGGGGAAGGTGCACATGACCTTTGTCCTGTGCCGAAGCAGCCTGCTGTAACCCTGCACCCTCACCAGCAAGCAGAAAGCTGTTGCAAATTGGATGAGGCATTCTTTCTGCTGTTCCACCTCAAGAGAGCTTTGTACAGCCCTCGAGTGGAGGCCACAGTTCGCTTTGCCGTGCCATCCCCCAAACCAGATCCTTTTGTTGTTATTCTTAGGGCAGAGATTTTTATACAAAACATCTCCTTACCTTAGCTTTATTCTAAAATCAAAGCAGAGTTGGCAACAGGCCTGTGAATCACACTGGAAGAATGCTAACCCTGGCACCTCTGAATCTGCAGACTTGCATAGTTGTGGTCACGTAAGCAAAGACACTGCAAGCAGAGTCAAATTTAAATCCAGAAGGACCAGGTGGGGCTAGGGGACTTAAAAATACAACGCCAGTATCACCCACTTCCTTAGATAAATCTATTTCAGCATGAAAAATCATATTCATGTCGATGAGTGCCAACCCTGCATTAAATCAGACTTGGCAGGGGAATCTCGTGTTAAGGAAATGCAGAGTTTTCATTTCTGAGCTTCACAAGGGAAAGCTTTTCACACTTTGAGGCACAAGGCGTTTTCATACATTCGTGGCGGCTCTCACACTAGGTGTTTTGTGGCTGCAGTTTTTAGAGACCTGTAAAGAGGTGTGAGGGTTTATGACCCGAGCAAGTGCTCCAGAATTGCTTACACAGTCAATCATGTTAAAACACACCTGTGTGTGCATGCGTGCACACACACACACACACAGTGGTGCTGCTCTGAGCTTCATGCCAGGAGCCAGCAGGTCCCCTGCTGACATCACCTGTTGCTCAGGGCCTGAGCATACTCAGGAGTCCGACTCTGGGTGCCCAGCACCCTCTTCTCATGCTGTGACTGCGTGTTAAGATACTTGGACTCCCCCTCCGCTGCTTCTGCAGCAGACTTTTGGAGGTGCTGCTTGACACCTATGTGCTGTGGTTCTAGGAATCATCTCTGCTATGGTCCCAAAAGCCACATGGTCCACGCTGGGGCCTCGCCATGTGGTCACCCCATGTCACAGGCCTGCTGCAACATGGGCCAGTGCTTGGGGACTGGAGCAGGACTTACAAAACCTGGAAGCAGCAGAGAGAAGAGGGCGTGGCCTTCAGGCACAGACCATTCTTGTCTTCAGAATTTATGAGAGATGTCGAGACTGTCTCTAGATAGGGACCCAAAGTAGCGGAGAGACAGGTGCAGGAGGCTGTCTTTAGTGAGTACTGTATCTGGGATTGTTACCTGTGCCTCTGTCACCTACACTTTAAAATAAATACTTAGCCAGGCGTGATAACACACACCTGTATTCCCAGCACTTAGGAGGCGAGGCAGGAAGATCACCATGAGTTCAAGGCCAGCCTGGGCTACACAGTGAGTTCAAGGCTGAACTTCACAGCAAGACCTTATCTCAAAAAACAGTAACAACAAAATAGTAGTAAGAGATAATTAATAAAACCAGAGTTAAATAAATAAATGCATTTAAAAAGATTTGAATCCTTTAAATAACACGATGAAAGATGGACATGGTACACAAAACCTGTAACCACAGCAGTCACGAGACTGAGGCAGGAGGGTCATGAGTTCCAGGTCAGCCTAGGCCACATAGCATGACGCTGCCTCCAACACACACACACAGACGCACGCACGCACGCACAATGAGTTTGCCAGCTGCCCAGTTCTTCCTGGGCTTGGCCCTTTTTATGTTGCCTACTGCTGTGGGCTGAAGCAGTTTTCCTGATGTAAGGTGTTTCAGGCGTGGGTAGGAGGCGGAGGGCTGTGAGCAGGAGACGCCCCCCGCCTCTGAAATCCAGCCTGGCCATTTTGGTTAGGAGACCAGGACTTGAAAAGTTCCCAGCAACCTAACCCAGTTCTTTGCCTTGGCGCCTGAGCTGCACCCCTGTGCTGCCCCAGGGGAGCCAGGGATCCTGTGCGCAGCAGCCCCGAATGAGCAGCTCCTTCCCGGATGCTCTTGTGTCCCATGAGAGCCACTGCGTGGGGAGGGAGCCAGCCAGCCTTGTTATTTGTGATCCAGCCCCAGCTCCGCATATTCATCAGCACGCTGAACCCGCATTCATGGTCCGACAGCTCTTTAGTTTGCCTGCTGGCCTGTTACTTGTGTGAGGGCGAGGCCAGCTTCCTGTCCTCCCTTGTGGGCAGTCACCCAGTGAACAGCATGCACAGCAGGGAGGGGCTGAACAGACGAAGGGGAAGAAGAGCAAGTGCAGGAGCTCTGCACCCTACACCTGGCACGGGTCTGCACCCCTCAGTCGCCTGCCGTTTCCTGTGCTCTAAAGTGATCAAGGTGTGGCCTCGAGGTTTGTGCTGTGACTTCAGCGGTGCCACGGAGTCCCTGCCGGGTGGAAAACCTCAAGTTAGCTTCCACAAGAGCGCAGTAAACCTGGGCAAGTGTGCGAAACAGCTGCTGAGCAGGAGCTGAGCTGAGCTGAGCCCCACTTCTCTGCTTTGGAAGCTGCTCAGAGTCACTCCAGCCCACAAACCTGAGAGTTCCCCCTTTACTCAGCTGCAAAAGGACCCGGTGACACGAGTCTGAACCACTGGTTGGGAGGAAGCAGCACGGGTGGGAGCCACGACTCTGGCTGTGGTCTGTGTTTGAAAGCACTCCCTTGGGGCTGGAGATTTAGCTCAGCGGCATAAGCGCCTGCCTTGCAAGCAGGCGGTCATGAGTTCGATCCCTGGTACTGATAAAAAATGAAAAAGACCAAAAAAGAAAGAAAGAAAGCACCCCTCTTCTATGCTCCCCTACTCAAGTTCCCTGGTGCTTCCTACTTCCTCAAGTTCCCTGCCCTTCCTACTCAGGGCACTGACACGTGGGAGCCCACCCATTACCTCAGTGCCTGAGGAGCAAAATCCCGGCCACCACCACCTGCAGAGGGCGGGTTGGGGAGGGGGGTTGGGTTGAGTTGGGGAGAGTGCCCTGAGGACCAAGCTCAGTAAAAGGCATGTGTGGCCCTCAGTCAGTGCGGGGGTTCTTCCAGCCTGTGGAGCTGGTTGTTGGGGTTCCAACCTTGTGAGCCTACCTTAGTTTCCCCACACAGCCCGCATGGCTGGTCCCCACCAGGAGCGCCTGCCCCACATGGACTCTGGGCAGTGCAGACGCCCAGACAGACGCCTGCCAGCATTGGCTGGGACACAGCCGACCAGGCACCGCTGCTGGCTCTTGGGGCTGTTGGGCTGTCAGCCGCAGACGGCTTCTCCCCAAGGGCTGCTGCTCTACACAGGATGCTTGGGCCCTTTCAGCCCTGTGGAGTCCCACAGTTTCCCCTCACCTTCCATGAGCTTGAGGCTGCAACTCTGTACTCTGCATGAGGGTGGGACTCCTCCTTGTCCGCTGTGAGGGCCCATTCACTCTCAGGGCTCCTAGGCAGCTCTCCAAAACAGTTGCTCATGTGGTCCTGCCTCGAGCCTGGCACAAGGGCAGGAGTGGCGAGCGCTCCCAGCAGCCCTGCGATGCGTCGCCCTGCAGTGGGTTGGGCATCACCTGGGTCCTTCGGGGACACTTCGTGGCATTGGTGGTGGCCCAGGAGGTGACTTCTGTGGGAACCCCTGAGGCAGGGCCGCCCCCACCCTATGGCACCCCTTGGGGAATACTGGGGATTGTTCATACCCAGGGATGCAGGTTGCTTTCAAATCCATGAGCCAGGCAGGGAAGCCTCCACTGGGGGCGCCACACTGAGTGCTCGAGTTGAGCTCACTCTGCCGGCCCCGTCCCTCAGAGCCCGGTGCTTCCTCAGCACACATCAATGGCGGTGTCCATATCTACACAGAGCACAGACATACTGCCGGGTGCCTGGGGTCCCAGAGCCCACCCGACGGGGTGGGGTGGTTCCCATAGAGGAGCCTCGCTCACCTCCTCGGGGAGGGACCGCCATGGGTGCAGCCATGTGTGCTGCCCATTAGGCCACCGCCCGCCATGCTGGCCGGAAGCTGACCCGGCTTGTGTTTTGCAGGAAGCGATTGTCATCCACGAGGTCTATGAGGAGGGCGCAGCAGCCAGGGACGGGCGGCTTTGGGCCGGAGATCAGATCCTGGAGGTATGACTCGGGCTCGATGCTGGGGGGTGGAGACGGTGGCTCCAGGAGTTTGGCGGGCTGGCACTCACCCCCGCCCTCCGCACAGACCCCCCCCCCCGCTGCTTTCCCTCCCTCTTAACGAAATGTGCACCCCACAGTATTCCTTTTCTCCTCGTGAAATCATGGTTCCCCATGACAGATTACCTATATCTGTGAAAACGTGTAAATGACTTGTTTGGGGCACTTTTGATTCTCTTTGGCCAGTTAATTTTGTTTTGTTTTTTTGAGACAGGGCCTCCCTGTGTAGTTCAAGCTGGCCTTAAACTCGAGGCCATCCTCCTGCCTCAGCCTCCCAAGTACTAGAATGACAAGCCTAGGCTACCACACCTACCTCAAACTTTTGTAATTGTAAATTATTACAGTTCACAGTTCCATCATTTTGATACCCAACAGGATTAGACAGCGTTGCATCTAGATTTTCTTGCATCTCCAAAAAACCTAAATTCCCTCCTAAAAACACTGACATGTATTTATAAACATACATTCTGACTTTTTAAAGATATTCATGGCAGCTTAAATAGTACTTCCTTAATCCGCCAAAGCCTTTGTGTGAGTGGAAGGCCTTGCGGTGGTGCACTGGACCTGGTGCATACCTGTGACTCCTCGGGTGGTCTGCAGGTCCAGGAGCAGGTGTGCTGTCAGGCTGGGCTGTAGCACAGGGAAGCCCTGGGTTGGATGCTGAACGCCACAAACTTTCTACAAAACTGAACTGTTCGGCAAAACCACTGAAGTCTTTAGAAGTTGCCAAGCCAGGCAGCTCAGGCACCAGCGACTGGACTGGGAAGCTGAGGTGGCAGAGGCAGGCATGTGTGGGGCTCGAAGCTCCCACAGCTCCTTCCCTGCCACGGTTCCTTCTGGCCTCCCAGGCAGGCAAGAGCAGACATCCTAGACCAGAAGGGGCTGAGGGGGAGGCTCTCTGGCTACAGACAGAGCCCAAGCTCTTGGTGATCGCAGCCAGCCAGGCGGCAGGAGTGCGAGGTCGGGAAAGTGCAGGGCCCTGATCCGCAGCTCCCCGGCCTGTGACCAGCAATGGGGGCGGGGTGGGGGTGGGGGAGGAGTTTGCTTCTCCCCTCCCCAGGCTTTCTCATCAACTGCTATTAAATGCTGCTTTTAAATGGATAGTTTAACGTTAAAAACGGCACCAGTGTCGTCACACTTAGACCACCAGAGCCCCTAAGTCGCCCTGTGATCATCCATCTGGCTCCCACACGGTGGCTGGTGCTGCTCTGCACAAAACCAGGGCCTAGGGATCGGCTCCAGGCCCAGGCACAAGCACTCAGGCATGCAAGGCCAGTGCTGCGACTCCAGGCAGCACTGGGGCTCTGTTCTGGTTCTGGATGAGGCCCGGTCCCCCTTGCACTGTCTGCCGCCTTTGCCCCCATTCCATGGTGTGCAGAGATAGGAAGAGGGGACTGGGGAGATGGGGGGACGACCTGGCTCTGTCACCTCCACCTTCCCTGTGTCCTGTCCATCCTGCCCAAGGGGAGAGACCTTTGCTCCGCCCTGTGGCCGGTGTCCTCTGTAACACACACAGTGTCCCACGTGGCAATGAGGGGACATCATGGTTGCTTGCAGAAGTCTTTGGTCCAGCTGGAGGAGCCGAGTGCTCGCAATGGGCCTGGTGGCAGCTGCCCTTACCTGTCAGTCAAATGACAGCGCTTCCATCACAGGGATGTTTTACAGAGCCGCCCAGGGACATCCGGGGCACGGAGGCCACCTCAAGGCCTCGGCAACTCCCCACCTGTCTGGCCGAGTTGAGGGACAGAAGAGGTCTCCTGTGCCATCTGTTGGAATGCAGGGAAATAACCAGCTGCAGGCAGCTCCTGGCTGTGCTGGCCTCCCTGGGGATGGGTGTTATGACCGAGGAAAGGCATGGCCGGCCACTGCCCTTTAGTCTCTAAGGCAACCGTGCTGCACTCCAAGCCCAGCACACTGGGCAGTGTCTCAGTGCTGGTCCTTACCACGCACCTGTCACCCCTGAGGAAGCTGGCACTGGGCTGCTCCTGAAGCCCCAGGCCCACGGCCCAGCCCCTGCAGGACAGTCAGGCCGTGGGTGGTGGCCAAGGTGGCCCTGGGGCCACTGAGACTGGCCTGGGACCCTGTCTGCTCCCCACCCTATGCCTCTGACCCACACTGAAGCCCAGGGAGAACAGACCGCGGGGCCTGGCACAGAGATGGACATGGCCTGCTGGCCATGAGCCGGGGTCAAGTGCCTTAACTTCTTCGTGCCTCTGTTTGCTTACCTGTGGGAGAGAAGAGTCTGTTTCAGAGTGCTGGCGTGTGATGGGCCACGCAGACTCCCTGTCCATTTACATGTAAGGTGTTTTTATTACAGTGGGAGACCCTCACAGCCCCCTTGCGTCCCCACATCCTCCATCGTCCCACAGCAGCTCTACAGCGCTCTCTCCTGAGGGTATTCAGCCACACTGCCAGCTGCCTCCACATCCTGAGTGGGTTCTAAAGGTTTCCCTTCCCTGGTCACTTTGAATTAAGGGAACAGCCAGGAGCCGCACGGTGCCAATCTGGGGACTGAGGTGGATGAGGACATGTATCATGTTCTCGTTGGACAGAAACTGCCATAAGTATCTGATCAGTGAGGACTGATCCAAACATACGGGGTGGTTTACATTGAAAAGCTGCAGGCCTGGCGGTGCACGCCTGCAATCGCAGCATTCAGGAGGCTGAGGCAGGAGGGTCACTGCCGTGAGCTTAAGGCCAGCTGGAACTATGTAGTGAGACCGTCTGAAAAATAAAATAAAATTATATAAAATTAAATAAATTAAAATTACTATAGTAAAAGACACAATGCCATGAGTCCTTCAGAATCCTTTGCTTCCAGCACACTCATGCCCTCAAGCTGTCTTACACTAAGGACTGAGTAGGGTGCGTCCACAGCAGGCCAGCCCCAGGCACACAGAACCCAGCTGCCCAGGGGAGCAGCTGCAGACTGGAGACTTGGTCATGGCGTTGCTGCCGCTCACCGCCCACTCAACGCCCCTCTTACAGGTGAACGGCGTGGACCTTCGGGGCTGCAGCCACGAGGAGGCCATCACAGCGCTGCGGCAGACCCCGGCCCGGGTGCAGCTGGTGGTGTTCCGGGACACGGCCCAGTACAGGGATGAGGACAGCCTGGAGGTCTTCACTGTGGATTTGCACAAGAAGGCTGGCCGCGGGCTGGGCCTGAGCATCGTGGGGAAGCGGTAAGGAGGACACCGCCCAGCCCCAGGCAGAGGGAGTGGGGTGCAGGGCTCAGGGTACGGGGCACAGCTGGTGGCAGATACTGAGTGGCCACTATCTACAATAGCTAGAGTGGAAATACTGCACACCCAACAGTCAGGAATAAGGGAAAGCCACAGAATAGTATGCAGCTGTAAAAAGGAGGCAGCTGCAGCTGCTGACAAAGGTCAGTTGGAGCTACGGTAGCTCAGCCTCGCACACTTAGCCTGAAAACAAAATGAAGCCAAGCTAAAGGAGCAGTTGCTGAGATACATGGGGTGAAAACAGTGGGACCGAAGCTGAGGAGAAAGCGGCGTCTGTGGGGTGTGAGCACACAGTGGTCACACACAGCACACAGTGGGCAGGGCCGTGTGTTTGCACACGCCAGAGGATCAGGTAACTCGGGTGCCGAGGGAACGCACTCGGGGAACCCAGTGAATGCAGTTAGACTTTAGCAGCGAGAAAGATGGGAAGACGGGAGGAGGCTGGAAACCTCTGCGCTCTGGAGGGAAGGCCCTTATGGCCTTGTGTCCCGCAGGACTGGGAATGGGGTGTTCATCTCCGCCATCGTGAAGGGCGGAGCCGCAGAGCTGGACGGGAGGCTGACGCAGGGCGACCAGATCCTGGCCGTGAACGGGGAGGACATGCGCAGCGCCTCGCAGGAGACGGTTGCCACCATCCTCAAGGTGAGTCCCGAGAGCCGTCCCCTCGCACTCCCAGGCCATGTGGGCTCCACAGACCTACCCCTGCACACTTGGAGCCTGCAGAGCTGGGGCTGCGCAGAGCTGTGCTCTCCCTTGGGAGGCCCCTTCAGCACCTGCCCAGCTCCACTTCCACTCAGAGACTGTGGGCCTGGCCCTGGTGTTGCACATGGAGATCAGGGCTTTGCGGCCTTCTGATGTCCTGGCCAAGTCACTGCTCCGACGCAGGAGGCCCCACATGTCAATCCCCTCCACTCCCATGTCCCCGGCCTCAGGGTTCCTTCGGGATTCCACACTCATGGCTGCACCCACAGGAGGAGGGGGCGCTGAGACCCACCCTGATGTTCCATAGCTCAGTCCTCCCATGTGCTTTCTGGCCTGAGGCCGAGAGTCACAGGCCACGTCCATCCGTCCATCCATCTCTCGGCTTTCTTGTCTCCCCAGTGTGCTCAGGGCCTGGTGCAGCTGGAGATCGGAAGGCTCCGAGCCAGCGCCTGGACCTCCTCGAGGAAGACGTCCAGGCACAGCCAGGTTGTCGGCGGCGCTCCGAGGAGGGCTCCCTCCCCGCCCCATACCCAAAGGCTGTCCGTGTAGAGAAGGGGGGTCCGGGCCCGGCCTGGCTGCTGGCCGGTTCTGCAGGTGCTGTGTGTTTGAAATAAAAGCCAAAGTGAGGGAGTCATGCACCGAGCCCAGGTTCTTCTCTCCCTGTCGCCTGTGTCTTCCTAGGCCCCGTGAGCTCCGCCGTACACACATAGCCTCGTTCATCTGAGAGGGTATAGTGGGGCTGGGCAGCTGACTCGGGCTACTCCCCGAGGGGACGCCGGGGTCTCGGGAGGGAGGCTTGGGGGTGATGTTGTGCGGGTGAGCAAACATGTCACCTTTACTTGCAGCCAACATAAGTGCCACTCTGCAGATCAGGCTGGCCTTGAGCTCACTTTGTAACCCAGGCTGGCCTCCAACTTGCCATAATCCTCCTGCCTCAGCCTCCCGAGTAGTGCTAGGATTACAGATGAACGCCACTGTACCACTTTTTTATAAACAAAGAGTGTCCCCACAGCCTTTGGCTCTGCCCGACACCATCGAGGGGGTGTGCACTGCTGCTCAGCACAGTGAGGTTCACAAAGCAACCGTAGGAGCATGTGCGACCCCGTCTCCCAGCAGGTCGTGCACAGGCCTCTGTTGTGAGGTTAAGAATTTGACTTTCAGTGTCTGCCTGTCTGAGGACCCCGTCCTGAGTCACTCGAAGCCAGTGGTACCAGGTACTCCGGACACCTCGGCAGCCCAGCCTTGCCGCTGTTATTGACGCCGCCTAGCAGCTGCTGGGCCCAGTCAGAGCCATGGTAACTGAGGAGCCTCTCTTCCCTTCTCATCCCATTTGCTTCTGGAGTCCATGGCAGGTGGCAGAGGAACCTTCCAAGCCACAGTGCCACCATGGACCCATGAGGGGGATCGCTGGGCAGGGTCCCAGGCAGGCAGAACCTGGCCCCTGACTTCACTGAGCCTGGAGGGCCCAAGGTGCCATGCTGGAGAGGAACCTGATCTTCAGGCCACTGTGACGGCCACTGAGGAGCCCCCATGGGCTCACTGCAGATGGAGGGTGGTGGCCAAGGTACAGGCCAGGCACATCTGGGTGACAGCTGCACAGGGCAGGCCTGGGTGACGCTCCCCAAGAGGTGCACAGGGCAGGTGCAGGTGCAGACAGAGCCAGCCCCGTCTTCCCACACGGGGTGGAAGCTCAGCTCCTTTTAAAGAAGGGACGAATCTCACCATCAGCCCATGTTCCGTCTACAGCTGACACCAGGAGCGTCAGCCCACGAGGCCGAGGAGAGAAGCCTGCACTGATAGGATTGGAAACAACGACTACAGAGACAGGCTCTGTCCCGGACGGAGTGAGGGTCGGATTCCTGCCCAGGCTGTGTGGCAGAGACAGAGGCTGCCCCTGGCTAAGAGCAGTCATGACTCCCCACCTGAGTCACAGAGTGATTCACTGGGGCAGAGCACTCTGCTCCGGGCACCTTTCACGACCTTTGCTCGCATCTGGGAGTGGAACGGCCCTGGTAGGGACAGGAAGCCGCGTGCAGAATGTGGCCACACCAGGAGCAAGACGCCTGGGCTGGCTGCAGGGCTTCCTAGGCAACAGTTCCCAGCCGCTGTGGGTCTGCATCTCCAGGAGCTGGGTCACAATGGTTAGAGACCAGCTCCTCTCAGCGCCGCCTTAAACACTTTCAGATGTCTGTGTCCGGCCTGAGGTGTTCTGATGGCTGTAGTGCTCATCAAGATGAATTTCTGAAAACCGATGACTTGACTGACAAACAGAGCGCTTGTGATACGAAAAACAGGCCGGGCTTCCTTGGGGATCCGAGGGCGTGGACAGTGGCACTTCCAACCTCAGTCCTACAGCATGGATGGGCCTCTGCCGCACCTCCAGCCTCAGTCCCACAGCATGGACGGGCCTCTGCAGGGCCTCCGGCCTCACCATGTGTTTAGAACCCCGCGGCCAGGGCTCCCCAGTGGAGCCTCAGTTAGCCTGTGCAGCGCCCTGAGTTCCATCTCATGCCACAGAAAAGAGGAACAAGGTTGAGGGAGTCTTGAGGAAGGGCAGACTAGTGCATGACTTGCAGCATAGAGTTAGAGACGTGCACTGAATTGAGACACCTGGAGTAAGAGTGACCCTAGACATGGCTTCCAATTCAGAAGCGGGTTGGTGTAGCCTTGGTAACCTGGGAAAAGCACAGATTCCTCGTTGGTGACACTGTCAGAGGGCTTCTCGCTGTGCAAAGTGTAATGGGCAGTGACCGCTCTCACACACTCACACACACGGTAGACCGCAGATGTGCATTTAGATGAAGGAGAGGTCAAGTAACAGATTAGAGGCTTGGGTTAACTTATTACTGATGCTAGGAAAGTTTTGAGACTAAAAAGCAGCATATCCCTAAAAAGCCTCCTACCATGTTTGCTGCGATCCTCTGTGACTGCTCTAGATGCTGTCATCCAAGGTTTCTTGTGTTTATCTTAGCAAGCTGGGTGCCAGCTGGCATGGGGGCCCGGGCAGTGCCGAGTGACCCCAGGCCACCATGCTCCACAGCCATGGCCAGCGCCCTGGGCCAGCAGGGAGGGACGTGTGGTCCCTTGGTATCCTTGTCCCTTGTGAGAGTGGAGGCCACTGAGCCCTGCCTGGCCATCTGGGTCTCCTCCTTGGCCTCCTCAGCACCTTCGGTGATGTGGTCGGGGGCCCCACACCTGGCACCCCAGTGACAGCGGGGTTCTGGGGCCCACGAATTCTGCACACACAGTGACTGTGGGTCCTGCCTTCCAGGAGGACCCACGTGGCGCCCATGGCAGCTGCCCAACCGCTTTGGCCCCAGTCCTCGCTGGCCTTCAGAACCTGGTTGGAGCCCGAAGAGCTACAGGTCCTCTGGAGAGGAGCCCAGGTACCGGCCACATCCAGCCAAACTTGCTGTCCTTCCACTCTGGTGGCTTTAAGCCCATGAGTGTGGCCTGCCGAGCCCAGTGAGCTTCTGAGAGGCCTGAACAGGAGGGAAGGGCGCCTGTCCCAGGTCACAGGAGACCACAGTGGGATGGGGAGGAGTTCACAGGACCACCTTGGTCTAGATGGGCCCTAAGTCCAGAGGAGGCTGGGGCAGGTTGCTCAGAGCCTCTCGCCGGGCAGAGAGTGGCTTTGATGGGGGCAGAGACCAGAACAGGAAGTGCTGATCATGGCCCCTCCAAGCCCTGGGTCACAGCCTATGCTCAGCCTCTGTGACAGGCCTGAGGGCGAGGCAGGCTGGGTCCCGGAGCCAAGAGGCTCACGGCCGCTCTGTCCACAGGTGCAGACGCAGAGCCCAGAACGGTGGAGATCATCAGGGTGAGTTCCAGCTTCGAGCTCTGCTGTGTATGTGCTGGTTTGCAGAGGATTCTGCTTTCCTAGCGTGGTCTCTGGGGTGCGGGCTTTCAAGGCACCAAAGAATGCGGCAGCGGAATCAGGTGCGAGCGCTCGGTGGAGCATGAGGGGACCACTGCTTCAAAGTACTTGGTGCATCCTATCCTCCCCATCGTGTGCCTGTGTGTGTGTGTGTGTGTGTGTGTGTGTGTGTGTGTGTGCGCGCGCCCACAAGTATGCATGTGCGAGGGTGAGCATGTGGCTGAGCATGAGTGCGTGTTACAGTCTCTGCCCTGACCCAAGCCCCTCTACTGGGCGTGAGGATGAAAGCACAGCTGTCCCTGTGGTCACACCGGACTCTGCTGGTCTTTTTGTCCCCAGTGTCTTACCAAAGGGGCTGCCCAGAGCCCTTGACAGGGAGTAAATGACCAACGGTGCAGTGAGGGATGCCCCAAGGAACCCCAAAGGATGCTTGAAGCCAGCTTACACCCCAGGTTATGATGACACCTAATCTTACCTTTTCCTGCTCGGTTCAGCTGAGGGTTAAGGCTCCTGTGTCTCCCTGTCCCCTGCGGTCCCAGCAGGCCAAGGGCAGAGCTCACCTCACCACCACACACACATGGGTGCCCTGCAGACAAGCCGTAGCCACCTGTCCCATGAGCGCGCCAGGCGTGCGCCATCACGCCCAGCTCCAGTCCTCTCCATGAGGCCTCAAGCATCTCCCCACGTGGCACGTGGCAAGGGTACTGGGGCAGCGGCTTCTCCAGAACTGGCGCTGCCCAGCACCCGAGCAGAGCCCAGGTGTCCACCCACCCGGCTCCTCAGTGTCCACATGGCAGTATCTGTGACCCCAGCAGGTGCTGATTATTAACACAAAGGCCTCCATGTCCCCTAGGAGCACAGCGATGCGCTGGGGATCAGCATAGCAGGTGGCAAGGGCAGCCCCCTGGGGGACGTTCCGGTCTTCATTGCCATGATCCAGGCCAACGGGGTGGCCGCGCGGACGCGGAGGCTCAAAGTAAGTCGGGGGCGGGGGGGGGGGGGGGGCTGCGGGGCCTCATGTGGAGCTGGAGGCTCGAGGGGCTCGGGGCTGCAAACGCGCTCGCTCGCACCCCAGCTTCTGTGGAAAGAAGTGGCTGTCACCCCTTGGTAAAATCAGAGCCCCTGCACGCCCCCAACCACCCGACCAAAAGAAGTTTACGGTGTTTCAGCTTCGCTCTTCCGCCAGGCCAGTGGAATGCAAAGCAGAAACTGACCGCTGGGCGCCCTCCCTGGCGCCCCGGGGTGTCGTTCTCGCACATGTACACTCCGCGGGGACGCGGTGCCATCACGGTGGCCGGTGGGACGCGGGGCGCTCGGGTGTGCGTGAGCACCATGACTGTGAGTCTCCTCCGCGTCCCCAGGTCGGAGACCGCATTGTGAGCATCAACGGGCAGCCCCTGGACGGGAGGTCGCACGCGGACGCCGTGGCGCTGCTGAAGAATGCCTTCGGCCGCATCGTCCTGCAGGTACTGCAGCAGCCCGGCCAGGGCACCGCCCATGCGAATTTGGGAGGTCTGGGGGGGGCGCAGGCAGTGACCGCAGGACGCTGCTGTTCTTAGGGTCAAGACGGAGCCGGCAGCACAGCGCCTGCCTGGCAAGCGCAAGGTCCTGAGTTCTATTTCTAGTACAAAAAAAAGAAGAAAGATGGGGCTGGGGATTTAGCTCAGCGGCATAAGCGCCTGCCTTGCAAGCAGGCAGTCAGTCGTGAGTTTGATCCCTGGTACCGATAAAAACGAAAAAGACCACAAAAAAAAAAAAAAGAAGAAGGAGAAGAAGAAGGAGAAGGAGAAGAAGAAGAAGAAGAAGAAGAAGAAGAAGACGACGACGAAGAAAAAGAAAAGTACTGTCTCCCCGCAGGCCGTGCGTGAGTGCCTGAAGGTGCCACAGGTGGGGTCCCCCTTGGCTCTGCGTGGTAAATCAGCCAGGCTGCCGCATGGTAAATCAGCCAGGCTGCCGGCTCCCTGTGCGCCAGGAACCCAAGTTTGTGCAGAGTATCGGGACCAGGCTACCAAGCACCATGTCCTCCCGCCCTCAGAGGCAGAGGACACCGCTGGCCCCTGGGGCAGCACGGTCACGAGCCCACACAGAGCTGTCACCGGGTAAGGCTGCAGTCCTTGAGTGTTGCCCAGAGACGCAGAGATGGATGGCTGAGGGCTGCACTCCGCAGAGGTTTTGCGGGCTGTTCTTGAGGCAAAGAGGACAAAGCACAGCCGGCCACGAGGTTGGAGCCCAGAGAAGCCGGAGGAAAAACCACTCCCGGAGAACACACCGCAGGCACAGCTCCAGCGTCTGGGGGTCCGGGTCCAAGGCCCCGCAGACTGTCACAGGGATCCTGCCACAGTTCCTGGGGAGTGAACGCAGGGGTCTGCTGGTCCCCCATTTCCATGCGACATGAACTGGGATGCTGTGTGGACAGCCCTGGGCCTCCCATGTGTGGACATGCCCCTGTGTAGCAGCCTCCTGCTCCCGCCAGCTGATCCCTGCACTGGCTGGCTGCTGGCTCACCCTCCAAGATTGCTGTCCCCAGAGTTGCTGCAGCTGGCCCTGCTGTGAGCACCAGGCCTGGCAGAGCAGGCAGACATCCCTAGGCAGCTCCACCCATGGCAGCTCAGGCTCCCTTTTGCCATCTGTGCAGACACCAAGCTCAAGCCCTGAGTTAAGGACCTGTGGGCATCTGCAGGCTCAAGTACAGAGTTGGGGCCACAGCCCGGGCTGCAGCCAAAGCCACCCCACCACAGTGGTTACAAAGGTCAGGGCAGTGCTCTGGGGAGTGGGGTGTGAGCGTCTATGGAAGGACACTCAATCTTTTACATGAGGAAGTGACCAGGTATTGAAAATGTCCAAGTCAGGAAATAAAAATAAAATTAAAAAGTGTCATTCAGAAGTAGGGATGCTAACACTAGAAGAAATAGCTACACAGCTGAAAATAAGTTAGCAGAATCTGTAACAGCGAAAGAAGACGAGGGCTCTTTTTCATTCAATGCCAGGAGGTGTGCCAGGCGTGGTGAAGCACATCTGTAATCCCAGCACTCTGGGAAGCTGAGGCAGGAGAATCAGGAGTTTGAAACCTAGCACGACCCTATCTCAGAATAAAAAGTAAAAAGGAGCCAGAGATGTTGGTCAGTGTAAAGGCCTTAGGTTCAATCCCCAGTACTGGGGAGAAAAGAACTTTTTACATTATATACCCTACATGAAAAATGATTTTACAAATGGAAATAAAAAGAAACATTATTGGGCACTATTGAAACTGCGGAGAGTTGAGTATAGTTTAAAAACATAGAAGTAGAATTTTAAAATATAAAAGTTAGGGACTGGAGTACAGCTAAGGGCAGAACTCTTGCTTTGCATGCTCAAAGCTGGGCTCGCGCCCCAGCACCGAGACAGCAGTAGAACCTTGAGATGTGGTAAGTTACATGTGAGTCGGAGGGGGGAGGACTTGGCGTACTACAGTTCCACCTGTTTCAGGGGGAGTCAGCAGCAATCATGAAGATGGTGTGATGGGTCACACCCATAATCTCAGCTTTCTGGGAAGCTGAGGCAGGAGGAGTGCAAGTTTGAACCCAGCCTGGGCCACTTAGCAATTTAGTGAGATCCCGTTTCAGGAAAGAGGTGCTGGGGTGTAACTCAGTGCACAGCCCGGGGATTCAACCCCAGGACTGCAGAGAAACGTGGAAACAGGAACAGACATCTGACCGCATCGTAGCCCATCCCTGGAAGGCGTTTGGGCATTCACTGCATCTCCAGTGCGAGCATCCCAGCGTGTGATCGTGTGCCAGGCTGCCCAGTCTCTTACAGACTCCAGGCAATTTCCAGAAAATTCTGGAAAATGCGGGAGAACCCAGAGTCCAGTCCATCAACAGCTGTGCTTCTCCCGCCTCAGCCTCCACCACAGGACACCCTGCAGTCCCTTCTTCCAAGACTCTCCCACCCAGTGTCCCATCTTGCTGGGACCCATCCATCTCTGCTGGGGCGAGTGGGCGTGGGCCGTCCCCGCCCTGCTGTGACCCTGCAGGAGGCGTGGGCTGGGGAGGGAGACACAGGCGATCCATCGTGTGGCCAACATGGGGCAGGTTGTGATGGGCAGGGTGCCCCCTCAGGGCTCAGGTGTCACCTGGTTCTCCATGTACCCTGCAGGGATCCACGATGCAGAGGACCTGGCCTCGGCCTGCAGGGTGGACAGTGTACAGCTCTGGTGCAGTGGGAGTGGGGCATGGGACACAGAAGGTCCCAGGCCTAATGGCTAGCCAGGATTGAAGGAAGGGCCTGGCGCCGGGCTGGAGCAGGGTGGGGAACGGCTCCCTCCTGGAGCATCAGCCTGCCGCACTTGTCCTTCCCAAAGGGGACACCAGGGCCCTAGGGATGAGGTCCTGTGCAGCGGCTCCACCAGAGGGCGCCGTGTCCTGGCTTTGCTGAGTCCCTTTCTGGGGAGCCTTGGCCTCCTAGTGTAGGAGGCCGGCGGTCCTCGGTGGCACCCTTGGGCCCGGAGCATGTCCCTGTAATCTGAGGCCAGGCTAGTTGTGCCGTGCTCCTGGGGCCCCTGTCTGCTAGGATCCAGCACCGTGGGGGGTGGGTGCCCAGCCATGGGGGCTATGGACAGGCCCTGCCTGCAGACCCTGGAGGATTTGAGCCCCATGGTCCTCCAGAAACTGACCTCTCCTCTCCAGGGCGAGTGGACCCCACTCCACACCACACAGGCAGTGCTTTTCTACTCGGGGGTTAGGGTTAGGGTTAGGGACTGGGGCCAGTGCCAGGGTTCCATCCTCAGAACCGAGATGAGGAGGAGGGGAGGGGAGGGGGGGACAGGAGAAAGAGTGGACAAAACCCCACAATGAAACCAGAGGAGCCTGCCAGGCCCCTCTCTCTGTGTGCCCCCCTGGGTTCCCCATGCCCCTGCTGCAGGCTCGTCCTGTCCCCTCTGGGGACCTCAGGGGCGAGTAACACCACTGTGTCCCACAAGCCTACTGGGGAGAGAAAAGGCAGGTGGAACCTTAGAAAGCCGGTGCTGCCCATCCTTGCCTGCTAGGCATTGTGGTCAGCAGCTCCTCCAAGGGATCCAAAGCATCCCAAGCTGGCCCCACCTTCTGTCCTAACCAGCAGCATCACCTCCTTCCAAAACCCATCCCTAGCAGACCCTGTATCTCCTAGAGGACCCCAGGGATCCTCAGCCCATCCATGCCCCTTAGCCTCACTATGCTGAGGGCATTCTGGGAGCCCTGTCCCGTGGCCCCTGCTCCTCAAGATGGCTTCACCGGCTGCTTGGCCCAGTGAGTCCTTCCTGGGCCACCACAGAAGCTCTGAGGCTGAGGACTGCAGGGAAGACAATGACCCCAGCAAGGAGGCTCCGCACTCCAGGAAGTACAGTGCAGGGCTGTGAGCCTGAGCATGGCGGTCGTCCTGCTACTCAGGAGGCTGGGACAGGAGGTCAAGGTCAGCCTGAACTACACAGACAGACCTGGTCTCAAAAAGATTAAACAGGAGAGAAAAAAAGAAGAAAGGGTGAGTGAAAGAGAGAAAAGCAGGAGAGCTGAGGGAAAGCAGGCGGTCTCAGGTGGTAGGAGGAGGGTGGCGAGCTGTGCTTGGCAGTTGTCTTGGGGGTGCCCAGGAGAGAGCACAAGGCCCACAGAGGAGCAGGGAAGGACTGACCGACCCCAGGGCACCCGAGGGGTCCACGCTTCAGGTTCACAGGGAAAGCACCCTCCTTCCTGTGTGTCGGGAAAGGTCACCATGGCCAGGCAGTTCTGGGCTGCACATGGCAGCAGCTGCCAGGGGCCATTGAGAGCCAGCACTTGTGCAGCTGTGCCACATCTGGTGATGCCTCTGTGGACAGCTGGGTCCCCAAGTATAGGAGAGAGATGCGGGGGGGGGGGGGCAGTGTCGCCCTGTGAGGGAGGATGAGGCACTGAGAGGAGCAGAGGACAGTGACACCCAGGGTGTGGGCGGGGACCTATAGCAACCTGAGATGGGGAGGAGGGGCCAAAGGAGCCAGGAGTGTGCAGTCCAGATGCGGCTGGGGTATTGACAGGCGCCCCAAGAGGAGCCAGGTTGGGTGGTGCACGTGAGCTAGAGCTGGGGGAGCAGAGATGCAGGAGCGGAACCGTCCACAGGTGAGCGAGGGGCCTGTGCAGCTGAAAGGGCCGGCGCTGTGGGGCTGAGAATCTCGGGGCGGTGGGGTTGGGAGACAGCACAGCCAGCGGGAGGACGTGAGTCTCACATCGCTGGAACCACAGGGAGGGAAGGGCAACTGGGGAGAACGAAGCCCTGGTGTCGCTGCTCCTCTCAGAGACGCCCTCCTCTGTCCCAAGGTGGTGGCCGACACCAACATTGGTGCCATTGCGACCCAGCTGGAAACCATGTCCACCGGCCAGCACCCCAGCTCACCCGGCACTGACCACCCCTCAGAGGATGCCGAGTGAGTACCTGAGCCTCTTGGGGTACCGAGCCTCTGGGGTACCAAGCCCCAAGCACCTCCCAGGTTGAGGTGCTGGCCATGGGGAGGAGGGGCAGCACAGGTACTTCCCAGGTGCCCTGGGGCTGCCTGACCCCCATGCAGCCCGCACTCTGCTGTCTCTGTGCCTCTTTCCTTCGGGGCAGGTGCGCACAGAAGCCCCCACGGGCCGCAGCACGTTACAGAGACACTGGGAAGCCCAGTCAGGAAGACAGCAAATCTGGGCTCAGCCAGGGCAGCAGAAAGGTCCTGTCTCAGAATATAAACTCCCAGCTGGGGCTGCAGCTCGCAGCTCTACACAGAGCACTCCTGGGGGCCCTGCAGGGCTGGGGTCCCAAGTCAGGCAGCAGACAGCTGGGGTCCCAGGCACCAGGGAGCACATGAGCATGGCACTCCAGGAAGGAGCGCAGCCGCAGTGCTGCTCTGAGGCCTCGGGCTGCCTGGCTGCCAAGGCCAGTGCCACCAAAAGCCTGCACTGCAACTTGCCCTGGCTCCCAGGAGCACCTACCACCTGGCACTCTGGGAGGCTGAGGCAAGAAGACTTTGAGGTCAAGCCCAGCCCAGGCAACGGAACAACTTAGTGGACCTTGTGTCAAATAAAAACTACAAACGCAGGGGTACAGCTTGGTTGTTCAGCCCCAGTACACAAACTAACAAGAGTGCAGCTTGGGGGCCGGGGTAGCGGTGCACACCTGTAACCTCAGCTACTCAGCAGGCAGAGGCAGGAGGCCACCCGGGGTAAACTGCTGAGACCTCAACGCAAACTGAAATCTTTATAAGAGCTGGGAGTGAAGCTCAGGAGTAGAGCAGCTGCCTAACATGTGTGAGACCTTGGATTCAAGCCCCCGTCCTGGGGTGGGGGACTAAGCATAAGTCACACATGGTGGCCCATATCTGTGATGCCAGCATTCAGGCGGCTGAGGCAGGAGGATCTCAAGTTCAAGGGCAGCCTAGACAGCCATCAGGCAGTGACCTGACAAGGAATTTAGAATCGAGTTCCCAGCCTCACGAGGGCAGGCTGTAGCAGCCTCTGGGCCTTGCAGGATGAGTCTCCGGGTCGGCTCTCCCAAAGATGAACACCCCCCTGCTCCCTGCCATCTTTTCCCATTTCCCAAACTAAGCTCCACGCACTATGCTTTCAGGATACCCCCAGCTAAGATGATTACTTTGGAGAGAGGCTCAGAAGGCTTGGGATTCAGTATTGTGGGGGGCTACGGAAGTCCGCATGGAGACCTGCCAGTCTACGTCAAGACCGTGTCTGCAAAGGTATTTCACCGCTCCACTGTGCCCTTGTATCACTAAAAAGTCAGGTGAGAGTATTACGTGCCCTCTGCTGCTTGGCCAGGGGTTAAATGTGTGTGTGTGTGTGTGTGTGTGTGTGTGTGTGTGTGTGTGTGTGCGCGCGCGCGTGCATGTGAGCATGTTGCTTCTGAATCTCATAGGAGACCCACATTGACTGGTGGAAAGAGTTCTTCAAAATAGTAGACAAGGGATGGGGGTGCAGGCCTGTCATCCCAGCCCTCAGGAGGCCGAGGCAGGAGGATCTCAGGATCTAGACCAGCCTGGGCAATTTATTGACTTAAAAGAGCTTGTCTTTAAAAAAAAAAAAAAAAAAAACTGAAAAGAATCAAGGATGTAGGTCAATGTGAAGGCCCCAAATTTAATCCCCAGTTCTGCAAAAATGTAAAACATTAAAACAGCTTTGCCGAATAGTCCTGGTTTGACCCCCTGGAGAGACCTGGTTCCTCTTTCAGTTATGAGACACCACTACCTCAGAGGGTTTGAGCGAAGCTGTTTACCTGCAGGCTGCTCAGCTGTGGTGTTGGCCAGGTTTAAGTATCTTTAATACATAATTCACACCACGGCTGGGAACCTAGCTGATTGTCTAGGCCCACCCCTGCACCTCAAGCTCTGCATCCCATCCCCCTGCACCCTGCAGCCCTGCATCCTACTCCCCAGCACCCCATTCCCTACATTCTACCACCCCAGAGCCCCTTTCACCCACACCCCGCCCCCAGGATGACTGGAGTCTGGCCTGTGGAACCCACAGCTGCCTGTCTAGAGGAGTCTGACCTGGGGTCATACAATGTCCCCAGCCCGGAGGGACCCCGCCTACCAGATTCCTGCCCTCTCTGCAGGGAACCTTGCAGTTGCCTGGGCCGAGCAGACTCTGCCTGGGCCCTGGACAGAGTCCTTTGGGGCCACTGCCCAGTCACGGGGAAGTTGGAGCTTCCCAGTGAGCTGCCCCCTTGCACTCTGAGGTGGGGTCCCTGTGATCCTTTCCACGCCCACCACTCCCTCTGCCTCCCTGACCAAGCTCCCAAAGGGGCAGGTGGTGCCACTGCTCATGAGTGGGCGCTGAGACAGGACAGGGGTACACATCCCACGGCTGCCTGGCTGCCTCCTGAGGGCGGTTTCCGTGCTCTGGGATGGCACCGAGCCCACCTTAGCACTGCCCAGTGGTCACTGTTAGCCATGGTTGCACCTTCCCCTGCCAGTCCCGTGTCCCCACCTGCCTCAGCCCAACGTCTGCTTGCAGGGCGCTGCAGCCCACGATGGCCGCCTGAAGCGTGGCGACCAGATTCTGGCTGTGAACGGCGAGAGCCTGGAAGGCGTCACCCACGAGCAGGCCGTGGCCATCCTGCAGCACCAGCGGGGCACCATCACCCTGGCTGTGCTGCCTCGGGACCCCAGCTGCTGTTAGGCCAGCGGACAGAGAGGCTCTGGGGAGGAGACGCCCAAGCCAACCACTGCCTGGAGCTGGAGGTGACCGGGACAGGTCCGGTTTCCAACCTGGGACCAGCATCGAACGTTGGCTCTGCCAATCCAGGGCTTTCGCTTCCAATGATGTTTGCTGAGCCGAGCAGGCAGCTGCTGGGCCTGAGCATCTGTCCCTGCCCCTGCATTGGGAGCCAGCCGTAGCCTCGGGCCCTACTGAGGAGCTGGTGGGTGCTGGCCATGTCCCTCGCAGTGGACTGGGCTGGCCATGTATCCTCTCCTCCGCAGAATGGGAGTCTTATGAGGGTCGGGCCCACGCCTCCTGGTGGTCATACCATGCTTGTCCTTGGTGACCCTGGCATTCTGCCAGCCCAGAGAGGCTTTCCCTTTGTTCTCTGAGCTCCATAAATGAGAGACCAGCCTGCTCAGGACAGGACACTCTGCTGGCCACCAGCATGCACTCCTATCTGGGGTTCTGAGGTCCTGGGTCCCAAGGAAGGGTGAGGCCAAGCCACAGGGTCCACAGAGCTGCTCTTACTCTGCCTCAGTCAGACGTGGCCCAGTGACAAATTTGATTGTGCACCTCCACAACTGGTACCCAGCAGCAGGAACCTGGCTGGAGCCATGAACTCGGCTTGGAGCTCGGAGAGAGCCGGTGTCTCCTGTCTCCAGAAGCTTCCCTGGTGGACGGTCCCACACCAGGAAAACAGCGACAGCAGTAGCCCTCGGCACCCTGTCCCAGAGTGACCGGTGACCAGCAGGAAGAGACACTTGTTGGGCTCTATTTAAACAGCACCGGGACGGCTGAGGCAGTCCCAGCCACAAGCCCCTCTCAGTGCCCCCAAACCTGAGTGGCTCTAATGCCCGGTGTTTCTGGGTGTCAGCCAGGACTTGTCCTGAGCTGCTGAGGTCACCGGAGTATCCTGTGGCTGTTCTCAAGCAGCTGTAGGTGAGGCTGGAGATGCATCGCACCACCACTCTGGGGGCTCTGGTGTCACTGCTGAGGGCAGGGCATGGCTGGGATGGAGAGCCGGGAGTGACCCAGTAGGAGCCCAGTCACCTGGGGCACTTGCAGATGCACCTTCAAGGTGTCCACAGCACATGCACACAGAACCCTGCAGTGTGACTCCGCTTCACTTGGATGCATGGCCATTAAATACCCATTTGCAAGAATGCATCATTGCCTGGTCCTCGAATATCCCCCCTGGCTGAGCCGTGGGTGAGAGAACCAGGGACCGGTGCCTTCTGGCCCTAAGTGGAGAGGGCAGCACCAACACATGGCCACCCCCACCTCCGGCTGCAGATCAGAGCCCTGCCAAGCAGTTCACCCCCCAGCAGGGGCAGAGGACAGGGACCCCTCGGTGGAGCAGCTGTAGCTGGGGCAGCAGAGGGTGGGCCGCACTCAGTCCGGGGCTCTGGTCTCCCCAGGGGTGCTGTGCCCTGTGCCCAGCTGGGCTGCCTCCGGGGTTTGCGCCAAAGAGCGAGGAGTCCAGCCTTGCAGGGCTCCAGGACCTGCTTAGCCTGTCACACCGTTCCCTCACCCACACCCACACACCGTCCCCTCTCCAGTGTCTCAAGTGAGAGAGGAGATACCTCAGCCAGGAGTCCAGTGGCAGCTCGGAGGCCGAGGCCAAGGCCGGGGTCAGCATCGCCCTGCTGAGGCTGAGCCTGTCCCCTGGGGCTGGGCCTTTGGGAAGCCCTCAGCCACCTTGGGCTTCCTCTCCCTGAGCTACCTGATATCGTTTGTGAAAGGGACCACAGACCAGCCACTAGTGCTGGCAATCAGCAGCTACGTCTTAGACTTGTGATTAATAATTACTTAATTTAATAATCAGGAATTACCTCTTAAGCCTATAGTTCCAGTACCTGGGAGGCTAAGGCAGGAGGATCGCTTCAGCTCGAGGCCAGCCTGAGCTGCAGAGTGAAGTTTAAGATCAGCCTGAACTACATAGGGAGACCCTGTCTCAAAATAACAAAAATAAGCCAGGCCTATAATTCCAGAACCTGGGGGGCTGAGGCCAAAAGATCACTGCAAGTTGGAGGCCAGCCTAGGGTGCGTAGCTCTGAACTACATAGACCCTGTCTCAAAAAATAAATGAACAGCTGGGCATGGTGACACACGCCTATGGAGGGTAAGACAGGAGGATCGCTGTAAGTTCGAGGCCAGCCAGGGCTGCAAAGTAAGTTGAAGACCAGCCTGAACTGCACAGTGAGGTCCTGTCTCAAAAAGACCAAAATAAATAAATAAACCTAACCACTGTCAGGATGCCCCCAAAACATTTATGCAGGGACAGAAGGTCACTGTGCTGGGACACAGAGACCAGGGCAAGCTGCAGGCGCACTCCAGAGGGGGCCTTTGTAAAGGCCCAGGGCAGGACATGGGCTGGCGGGGAGTGGTCTGGACTATGCTCACAGTGAGGATGTGGGCAGGTGTCTGTCACAGCTGTATGTTCACAGCCAAATGCTAAAGAGAAATTGGCTGCAGGCACCAGTGCATACCCTACAGCCCACCAGGCGTGAGGCATGCATGCATGCGTAGAACCAGAGGGATTTCAGGTGGACCTTCAGGAGCTCCCTCTCTAAGAGAGCAGCTTATGACCCCAGCATGGAGAAAGGCTGAGGCAGGAGGATGTCAAATTTGAGCCCCACGGGGCAAGTTCACGACTTAGACTCAGTCTCAAAATAAAAAGATCAAGCCAAGGCTGGGCAGTGGCTCTGAGAAGCCTGGGTCCTGTCCCTGGGATGTCACACACAGCGTTGAGAGGACGTTTCATTTTGACCTCACAAACTGTCCCTGATATGTGACCCCTGCAGCCTTCTTTCCTGCCATCACTGAGGGGTGGCCACAGGGCCCACTCTGGTTCTGCCCTACTCCCCTGGGAGTCCGGGGTCACAGTCCCCTTCCACCAGCAGGCTACCCAGGCTGGTGGTGGGCGGTTTCCAACCCATGGACCCTGGAAGCAGAGTCCTCCATGGGATGGAAGGGGCGGAGGGGTGGTCAGGTCATATCCAGGGACACAGGAGGCCAGTGGGCGGAGCCCAGAGAGGAGGACGCGGCAGGGCAGGGCCCTGTCCCTCCATGCAAGGAGCCTGGGAAGGCGACCACGCCCCCGGGGTCCCCACCCGCGCGGCGCCTCTCAGGGACTGGCGGGCGGGGGGGCGGGGCGGGGGGAGACCCGGGGCTGGCGGAGTGGGGCACAACCGCGGGGCGGGACTGGACCCCCGGGACCTCGGGCTGCGCTGTGAAGGAGCCGCGCTGGAAACCTGGCCGGGCAGGAGCGCACGCGCTGCCATCCGGGGCTGCAGAGGCTGAGGCCGGAGAGTCGCTGGGGACCCAGCTCAACCCAGTCTGGGCCACGTAACAAGAGCCCGTCTGAAAAAACAAGAAAACAGCATCGCTGAGGAAAAGCAAGGAAACCGGGGTGGGCTCGGGGAGGAAGGGCAGGAGCCCCCGCTGCAGGGGTGACATCGCGGCCACACGGCCTAGAACCTGGTGGGATATGGGACGGGGGTCACTGCGGGTCGGGACCGCCCGCCCTCCAGCCCTGGGACCTGCTAACGGGTATCTTTGTGCGGCGCTTATAGCTCTCTGTCTGCTCGGTGCAGGGAATTTATTTAATGTTTATCTTATTTGCGGTCCTGGGGATCGAACCCTTACACTTAGCTACATCCCCAAACCTTTTTTTAAAAACGTGTTATGGTGATTTAAAAAATTTTTCAGGGGTGTTTTTTTTCCATGCCAGTGTTTTGCTGTGTAATTCAGGTTTACCTTGAACTCACTATGAAGCCCAAACTGCCCTCAAATCTGGGGCACTCCTCCAGCCTCAGCCTCCCGAGCTTCGAGGTTAAAGGCATGTACTACCACACCCTTTTGGGGGATTTTGGTGTTATTTTTGTCTTTTTGAGACAAGGTCTCTATGCAGTTCAGGCTGGCCTTGAACTCACTTTATAGCCAAGGCTGGTCTCGAACTCTCAACGATCCTCCTGCCTCAGCCTCCCGAGTGCTGGGATTACAGGTTTGAGCCACCACGCCCGGCTTTGTTTTTGTTTTGAGACAGAGTCTCACCAAGCAGACAGGCTGGCCTGATATTTGCAGTGATCCTCCTGCCTCAGCCTACGGGTGTATGATTATGGGGGTGCACCACCACGCCTGGCTTTATCATTTTGGGAACGAGTTTTGTAAAGTCACCAGGCTGCCCGGCTGTGCTCAAATTGTGCTCCTCCTGCCTCCGCCTCTAGCTTCCTTAAGGTGAGCACAGAATCCAATCTGGAACACCGGTATTTTAAAGTTTTGTGATCAGGTTTTTATTTTTTTAAGTAGTGAAACACCAGGCGGACGGCTGTAACCCCAGCACCCGGCACCTGCACCCCTCTTCCTGGGGTCCCACTCAACTCCGCTGGCCTCCTCCCGCTGCAACGCCGCCCGGGGAGCCTGACCCAGGCAGCGCATGCGTAGAGTGGGAGCCAGGGCCCCGGAGCCCGCGCGCGTCTCCTCTGCTGCCAGCAGGGGGCGCGCGTCCTCCAGGGCTCGAGCCGACCGGTTCTAGAGACTGTGGGGTCGCTGCCCAGGTCCAGAACGAGACCCTAAACGGGGCTTATGTGCCAGGCACGGTGTGCACGCCTGTGATCCCGCCGTTCGGGAGACTGAGGCAGAAAGATCGCTGCAGGAGACCAGCCTGGGCCAGAGTGAGACCCTGCCTCAAAAAACAAGAAACAGCAGAAACCAGGTGGGAGCTCTCCTCCTGTGTCCGCAGGAGCCACTGACCTCCAGCACCACGATATGCCGCGCACCGGGGCAGCTCCGGCCTTGTCAGGGGCCTGGGGGAGGGACCCTGGTTCCACCTTGGGCAGGTACAGCACCGCAGGGCTCCCCTGGCTGGGTCCCTGCATCAGGGCCAAGGTGCCCTGGGGAATTTGCTCAGCGGGCAAAAGCACACAGCACTGGGACCCCTTGGGGAGGCTGAGGCAGGAGGATGATGAGTTCAACCCTGGCCCGGACAATGATCTTGTCTCAAAAAACTAACAAAACCACCCCCCAGGGGTGCTTAGAGGGCCACCTATCGCTCTGTACACCCACACTGCCCATCCTTTCCCACTAAAGAGGGACCCGGCTGGCCAGGGGTACACGGGCTACCAATAGTGACCAAGAAGCTCTGTCCGCCTCCATCACCAGCATGACACTGCCCAGGCCAGGCCCAAGGATGATGGGAGACTGGGGTACCTGTAGCACCTCCTCCTCTGGGATGGTGGGGCCCCAGGGCCTGTGCCCTGTGATGTGTGTGTGGGTGTCACAGCTTGTCGCCTGATGGGCCCCCCTGCAGGAGACTGAGATTTGCCCTGAGCCTGTGCCCCACCCCAGCACTGCTCCTGGTGACAGCCAGGCCAGCTGTCTCTGTCCTGAAGGCTGGAAACCACCACTACCACAGGGCCTTCCTGGGACACTGATGCCCACTATCACCTGCGCCCTGGTGCACGTCCACCACAGTGAGGGGCTCAACCACAGCACTCCCCCAAATGTGCAGGGTCCACTTGAGGAACAAGAGCCCCACAGAGTGGGAACTGGCAGACTTCAGAGTGTGGGCGGGCACCACTCAGCTGTAAGGCCAGGTCCCCAGAACTGCAGACAAAGCCCAAAGCCCCACACCCATTCCCCAGCCGCAGCTAAGAAGACGCACTCTGTGCCAGGCACTGTACCAGACACCACTGCCACAGCCGGCCGTCAGGGTTTGCAACACTGAACCAGCACTGCAGGGCTGCAGGAGCCTGGCACAGCAGCCCCAGGTTCAACCCCCACGTCCCAGACCCACAATGCTGGAGGGCAGGTGGCATTGTCCCCCACTCTACACCAAAAGATAAAGGAAAGCAAAGTGTATCATAGCATAAGAATACATCTTCCTCAATTATCACCTGGATGTAATTCGCACTGGTCAAAATCCCCAGAGCAATGAAGCTCACGATGTGACCTGAGTTCCAGCTTCACGTGTCAGTGTCTCAGGACACAGAATGGAAACTGGAAGGTGTGCGTGCTCCCGTTCCGCTACTCTGGGAAACCAACCTGCAGTGGCAGCTGTTACCAAGTCTCAGGCACCGCAACTGAATTTCCTCAAGTTCTTTCTGCAGTAGGTTTGGTTTTCCTGCTTTACTGATTTTTAAAAGTTGAACCACAGGGCTGGGGAT